AAGAAAAGGCAATCAATTTGATTGTATTTGATGGCTCTACAGCAATGTTGTGCCCTCCGAACCGCAAAAGCAGGACTCTGAGCCATAAATCTTGGGCGCACTTGGATTCCTGCTTCCTCCTCTTCTTTTGGAGGTCCTCCTAATCCGTCTCCTCCCACCAGCTCCTGCCACTGCAATTCGCCTGAGTGTCCTGCTGTTTGGCATCCAAAAGCAGCAGCAGAATGTCCAAAATGCACACTGCAAATAATACAAAGGGCCAAATTGGGAAAAAATGGGATTTCGTGTGGGCGGCGCAACGCAATTTGGGTGCTCTAACTGGGAACCGTAATTCCCTCACAAAAAGATTTAAAGTAAAAAGCAAAAAATTGATATTTAGTTGCAATGGGGAATGCTGTTCTTTTTTTTAGGGAAAAACATGGCAAAACATTATGGCCATGTGTTTGGTACATCAACACGTGTTCCGATCTAAAAACATATAACCAAATAAAGCCAAAATCCCTTTGCTGGTTCACAATAGAAATAGAAAGGAGGGGAAAAGGCATGCTGAAAGTGGAAAAAAATCAACTCCTGATGGCGTAACTTTCCCCCTTCCCCCAAAAAACCTCCAACCCAAAAAACCCCTTTTTTCCTGAGGACCAAGCCATATTGCTTGGTTTCGTTTCGGTTCGCTTCGGATGGCCTGGGTGCATTAAAAATAAACGACTGTGGGCAGCGCTCAATTTGGAATGAAATTGGCGCAAATACCAAAAATTTATACAATGGCCAAATGCAGCAAGGAGAAATAAAAGGAAATGCGAGGAAAGCATTGGGGAAAGCATTGGGGAAAGCAGCAGCAGTAGAAAGCAACTAAAGAGCACCAGAGCACAAATTGAAAAGCCATACAAATCAAATTGGGTGGGTGTGAGCGGTAAGTTTATTGGACCCAGTATAAGAGTATATGTATACTATATGTGTTTGTGTCTTTGTGTTAGTGTACGAGTCGGTATGCTTTATAATTTATAAGCGGCCATCAGGAGCGCTCATTATGTGGCACAAAATAAGTAAGTGCCACTCGTTTGTATACAAAGCAAACAGCGTGGGAAAATGCATAAAAAGTGACCAGCGATGAGGGTCATAAATGAGCCTTGAAAAGCTCGAGAGGATCGCACATCCACACCCACACACACACTCATCGAATCCTTGCCGCAAAAGGATGCCACCCGACAAACCAGTCAGCCAGGATTCGGCGATGTCCTCCGGCGATTCGAAGGAGCAGAGAAAAATTAAAGGTAAGGGAAACTATAATCTCGAAAAACATGTGCGGAATAATTCATTTTATTTTGAGGAGGAGCGGTAGGGAGTTTGAATCTAGGAACGTGAGCTCTTTCTTCACAGAGTATTATATTTTGATTTAGAAATCTGTTTAAATTTTAGCACAATATTGAGTCGTTTGTTGTTTAAAGGATGAATAGATTTGTACTGGAAAAAAATAACATTCGACTAACTTAATAATGAAAATGTAATTTTTGAGGTTGAGATATATTCATAGGTTATTGTTCAATGAACAAATTATTCTTACAATTGACTAAAAAAACGATGTGTATAAAAAAAATTTTATTTTAATAATAAAATTCCAACAATTAATGTTTTGGTTGAACAAATTCAAGAGGAGAATTAAAATAGTTCGCTTATCTTTAAAGAAGTTTATTTTTCAATGCAACAAACCTCTAAACAAAAACATCAGTAAAAAACATCAAGGTAAATAATTATTAACCTTTTAAAGAACTTATAAAATCACATTTTATATAAATCTAATATTTCCTAAAACTAAAAGCTATTTAAAAACTAAGTTATTTAAAAAGTAAATCAACTCGTTTCCACCACTTTGGTGGGTTGAAGTCAGGGGACATCCATATTCCATTTTTGGTACGAGTATCACATGTATTGTCATGTGGCCCTTTAAAATTGTTGCGTGAAATCATCGGGCTTTATGGGTCGATTCTTTTGTCTTCCGTTATCGCTTTTCGTTGGCCCCGCCGTAATGCAATCAATTCGTTTCGGCCAGTTTGCCAGTTTGTTGTGTCCTGGCCGAAATCAAAAGGATGCAAAGGGGAGTGTCCGTCTGGCCAGTGATTGCAATCTGCTTCGATCCCATTTGCCTGGAATCCTCGAAGACGTTCGACCCCATATTCCGGCCATTTGTGACCCACTCCAAGGAGACACAGGACCAATTTAAAGGACCTTTCGCCTTATCAAAATGAACCTCAGCCATCGGCTGACTGCTGAATAAATTACATCCAGTCGCGTTCCATTAATAGATTTTTCATTTTCTTCACTTTTGCCAATGCAAATAGCGCAGAGGAATCCGACAGTTTGGTAGCTCGCGCTCGAAATCGCAGAAGGAAATGCGAAGAATTTCGAGCAAAATTTAATTACTCGAGCTGAACTCGAGCTGCAGGACCAAAAGGACACAAGGCTGCCGCGCATCAAAAGCTGCAGTTTCGCCGAGCAAGTAGCAAAGTCAGTTCGTTTCATTTGTTTATGCATATTTTACGGAGCAAGCGGGCTGCACATTAACAGTCAGCAATTGGAAAAGCGACGGGTGGGAAAGCAGGGGGCACCGAAGGCTCCGCAGGATGCTTCAGTCGGGAAAAGCGTGGGCGGGAAAACTGTGGGCGGGAAAACCGTGGGGGGTTGAGTGGCAAGAAACTGTACAGCAAAAGTCGCAAGACAGGCTGTTGCCACTGTAGTTGATGCCGCTCCTCTCCTTTTTTTTGCCTCTGCTGCTTTCCTCGTTGCGTAAACAGCGAGCTCAGCTCTCTATTCGCCGCCTTAATGACCGTTCGACACCAACAAGTATACGCACCGTGGAACGGAGGAGGAGAAAACAAAGAGCACTCGAGAAAACAATGCAAATAAACAATCCAAATAAATTTTTAAAATTCTTTGCAAACACAAATATGACCCTCTCGGCTCAAAATGGATATTATATAGCGTATATTCAACAGGAAATTGGGTTATTTTTTGATGAAAAATATTAATACACAAATATTTAAAAATATTTGAAATTGTTAGAGGAAGCCAAGAAAAATCTTTCTTCTTAGATATGAACATTAAGTATATTTTTTTAACAATTTCTTTAAATATAAATATAAGTTGCTTAAAGTTTATTGGAATTTAAATTAGGTTTTCATTAAAGTTATTTTGTTTCTTACTATAATCAATGATCTTTTCACACACTATTTACGGATATGTACTTTAAAAAAATAGATCTCAAATGTTTGTAAAGGCAATGTTGATTGTTTTTTCTGGAAAGAAACCTAAACTTGGTAGAAATATCTATTTTTGGAACCAGTGTCCTTCCGCTGCCTATCGCTCTGCCCCAGCATCATCTCCTTGACCTTATGCTGCGTTTTTAACGAACTTGGACGAGGAGTGGCCATGGGGGGTGGAATCGTTTGCATATTCATTGGTCAGCAGCCGCGCTCGCAGCATCCTGAATCCTGAATCCTCAATTGAAGCTAGTCCGCGGGGGGCGGAAGCCAGGGGGCGTGGCAGTGCTCATCCACTTGCTTTGAGCGTAAATATTTTAAGTACTTTAAACAATTCATTAATTTACATTTAGCTTTGGCTGTGTTCTGGAAAAGCTGTCCATAATTTAGGGAACAGCCTGAGAAGTCCTCGAAAGTGACAGATAAATGCTTAAATAACGTTTAAAATCTTTAGTTTAAAAAACAGAAATAAATCTAGCTTTTCCGAATCTTTCAGAATTAATCAAAAAAATTTGCTTTAAATATTTAATATATTATTAACTAATTTTTTATTAAACTATATAATATTTATAATTCTATTTTATTTATTGTGTATTATTGTGCACTTTCGATTCACAAATTCCATCAAAATCAGCTCTGAAACTGATTGAAAAAGCATTTATTTTGTTGGCAGCTCCGCTCGGGAGTGTTCCTCTGATTGAAGGTGTTTCGCAAATGGACTGAAGTCCGATGCAGAAGATAACACCACTCGGGCTGAAATTGGAAAACACTCAATGGGAGCTGCAACTCTTAAACATTTGCCGGTAATTGCCAAAAGCAACAATACGACTTTAGCCATTCCCCCACAAACTGCCACTATATTTGCACTGTGCCATTTTTCCCATTGAAGCCATCAGTTTTGCTTATGTTTCCCCAGCTCTGCTAATTGCAACAACAATTGCAGCGAACCAAACTGAATCCGAGAGCAGAAATAGAAACAGAAATGGATAAAAAGCCGGACAGCAACATCTAGGCCACAAGTCGAACAAATCGGAGGGGCGATGCAAGGATTTGAGGGGATAACAAGATGGGCGCATTTCACAAATTATAATCGTCATTTGTCATGGAGGCACTGCACTCGACAAGGACTCGCCACTCGGACTCAGTCCTTCACCCACTTTCCAGCCAGGATGCGATGCGGGGTGTGGAGTGGCGGAGTGTCCCTTTCTGATTTTTATTGACACGTCGAAATGACAGGGGACCGAGGCGGGCAGACGATGAAAAATTGCTCAATAAAGTGAATTAGCAATGCACTTAGGAGACGAAATGGGAACAATTAGTAGTTTTTAACAGCCAGCAGAAATGTCACATAAACTTACTGGCCTTATGCACTAAGTATGACTTATCAATAATAAGCTAATTTGACGATTTGGGGAAAGTACCAAAGATTTCTTGACAGATTTGAATCCGTTAGAAGGGAAACATTTATAAAAAGAATTAATAAAATTATACAGACATTAAAATAAAAAGATATAAATTCAAATTGAACTGCACCTCAAAATGGTCAAAAAAGTGTTAAAATTAAATCTTTCACAAATTTTTGTGTTGTTTTGAGAAAATAAAAATAAAATAATTAAATACTTTATGGCTCTTACTCAATAATTTATAAAAAAACTGATAGCTCCTCAACTTCTTATATGAAAAGATAATATATATTGACGTAGTTCATGATTTAAAACTGTTTTAAAGCGCTTAAGAGTAATTTATAAATTTAAACATTATAAAGTTTTCTGCTTTAATGGTCAAATTGAATACCAATTTTTAAAATAATAAAACCTTGCCAAAGGCTTTCTCTCAACTACGCCATTCGCCTGCAGCGAACTCCAAAAAGGACCAATCCTGGTCGGCACTTTCTCGACGTATCGAGCAGGATTCCCCCGAAGGCATATCGCATGGTCATGGTCAGATCCTCGATGTTGCCAATGTCGCAGTTGGCCATTGGCGGCCCGTTGGCCAAAATGGCCTGGCAGGCTGTTCCGGGCACCAGTCGCTCATCAAATTTGGCCAACGCAAAGCAAAAACGCAGCTGCTGGCGTTCCATTAGCCACGGGATCACCAGCTTCCAGTTGGCCTGACTCCAATCCAAGTGGTCCTCCAACTCTGGGTAAAATATCTCGTTCTCTGCCAGAGATTCGGGATCGGAAAAGGGAACCAGTTGAAGTTCAACAAAATGAAAAGAAAAACTGAGTAAAATAAGCAATTTAATAGATTGATGACTCATGATTTTTAGAAAATATCGTTGGAGTTTTTTTCTTCGGATTCGCGACTGTGCTGAAGCAAATTTGATTTTGAACTGAAAAACCATACCAACTGTTCAAACATTTCTACGTGATTTGTGCTTGGTTCTTCAAATGACAGTTCAGTTGCAGCGAATTTAAAACCGGAAACTTATCAAATTATAACTTTTTGTGAAATTACGAGTTTAATTGAGTTTTAGATTGTCCTACCACTTTCACTATTTGCGTTGCAAATTATTTTTCGTTATTCTACTTTAATAATAAACTTTGAGTCACTATGCTACGTGACTTTCGATTGCTTTTGAGTGCAGCACGCTGCCACTAAAGCCGCAAACTTTATTTTTTACTTGATTATTTTTCGGTTTGTTCGGAATTAGACTAGAAATGACGTCAATGTTTGCCCACAAATATTTGTTGGAATTAAAAGTTGACGAATTCAAGTCAAATTAAGTCAACACGTAAACAAGCGGGGATTTTCATAAAGTAAACTGAATTTATTTAAACATATCTCTCTGTATTTCTAACCAAATAAACCTTGTAATTGATATTTCATTTACACAAAATAATTAAAATAAATAACTGATTGGTCCCAATTTGATCTTTTACCCAATTTCAACTGGTTAAATGGGAAAGCGGTGTAATTGTTAATAATTGAGCAGCAACAAGCCAAGCAAACAAAAATATTTTCATTCCCGTCTGCAAAATCGCGCGTTTGGGTGACACAGATGTAAAACATTTGCATAGATACACAGAATCCGCCATAAATCCCCGGCAAAAAAGTGAAACTAATAAATGTTATGGGGACGTGCAGAGGTTGATTTGGATAGTGGGCGTTTGTCTGGGGGGCGTGGCCGATTAATTGTGGAGTGGGGAGAGGTGAAAGGATATTTACCCGCAGCTGTTGCCGCCACAAAAAAAAAACAAACCATAAAAAAGGACCAAACGTGCTGAGACAAACATCGAAATTATAATTTTTTAATCATAAAACATACACAACGACTGCTGCAAATATTGCTAGTACGTTTTTGGCCAAAAGAAAGGCGAGCCTGGCCAACACCCACTACTATCGCAAAAATGGCGCAAAGGCCATTTGCCTATTTTTTGTTTTTTTCTTTTGGTTGTTGTTCGGGTCCGGAAACAAATTACAGCAAACAATTTAAAAAATGTTTGCAAACAAACAGGAACTAAAAAGGGGAGCAACAAAAGGGAATGACGGAAATGTTATCTGGGCAACAAGACAACGGGCACAAAAGCGGAAGTACAGTGCCAGAGCTCTTGGCCAAATAATTTCTGTGTCCGATAGGAATACGAAATTACACTCCAAGTGATTTCGTTTTTATTATAACTGGCCACTGTAGCCAGTGGCCACTGTACTGGCGGAAAGGCTTGACCAAACAGCAGTCGGCCAAGATAAAAGCCTCCTTTGTTCGCAGACCGTTTCCCTGGATTCCTTGCCTTGCCTCACAGCCTTTAACCTTTTCGTTTCACTTAGTTAAGCAAAAATGAAATTTTTATTAGCAAAATGCATAAATGAATAGAAAATAGTTAAACAAGCCCGAATGCAGAGCAGCTGCACCTGTGCTCCTCCCAGAATTTCTGCCACTCCTGGCGTTATTTTACCGGCTTTTTGCTTGGGTCGACAGAAATCCCGGGTCGAAGTTCAACCGGCACCTTGTCCAGTAACTTTTCCGGGCAAACGGTGTTCCCTCTAGCTTCACAATTTGATTATTCCTGCCCTGCAGCCATATGTAAAATTATAAAGTGATTACTTTAAGGCAAAATATATGGCTTTTATGGGCGAGAATGTAAAGTGGTTTTGATGAAAGCAAACCAACGAATTTGCCAATCGATGAAAGGAAACCCAGGCCATTTTTAAAAGCTTTGCAATGATTCGGGCATTACAAACTTTTATAACAAATGGACTACCACCCACACACACGCACACCAACACACACAGAAATAGAAGGCGTAAACTTTTTGCGACATATCAATTAACAAATAATATACAGCTGGCAAACAGAAAAGCCCAAAGGGCAAAACTATCTAGAAACTTGCACATGTGAAACTTGTTTTGCCAAAGCAAATCAGAAAGTCATCATCAGAAGTACGAGAAGTGCAGGGAAAGCTCCATTTGCATTTCGTAGTACCGGAATTTTCGGAAAAACCCAGGGAACTGGGAAATGAGAACCGAGAAACCGAGAAGGAGGATAGCAATTTCTGCCTCTGCGCACTTTAAAAGTAATTTATCTTTTTTGCGCCCCGTCCACTGGGTGTGTATATATGCTATATGCAATTTGCATAAAACTTACTTGCCTTGGACCCTTTCGGCATTAAATCCACTTTGTCGCCATCTACTCGTGCATCAAACTCTTGCCTGCTTTTACTTTTCCCGCTGATGTTGCTCTTGTTTTTGCTGTTTTTGTTGCACTTCTCTTGTTGTTAATTGCAGCCCTGCTGGCGAATAAGTTTTCAATAAAGCGGCTGGCTGCAGAACGGGCCAACAAATTCTTTTGTTCCCTCACTTTCCTAATGACTCCGTTTTGTATGTGTGTGTGTGTGTGTGTGTGGGCGGAAAATGTGTCAACGGCAGCTGCAAGTGGCTGGATGCATCAAAGCCAAGTTATCGTGTTCGTTCGGCAAGCGTGTTAGCCGCTCGCAGGACAACAGGATGAACAGAATCCTGCGAAACAATGCTAAAGTTTTCTTCAAACACAAACGTCTTTAAGAAAAGCGACATATGAAAGTTAAGGAGAGCTGATGATTTAGAATAATAAATTATTGCAAATTGTTCTCAATTTAAAAAAGTCATAGTAGTAATAGTATTGTACCATTTATCCACAGTATATTAAGTTTATTACTATTGTTTACAGTATATAACAAATAAAAAAGAAATCTGAGAAATCGTTTTTTAATTATCCTCATAAATTTGGATTAATAAAGTTTATAGTTAAAGTTTAATAAAAAAAAAACAATTTTTAATATTTTTGTTAATACATTTTTAACTCTCGCTTTAAGTTGTCAACTTTAAATGAACGAATTCTTAACCAGTTTGGCAAACAGAGCAACAAAAGTTTCACATTTTCTTTTGTTTTCCTTTGTTATTGTTTATTTGCCCAGAAACAAAAAGCATTTTATTGTTTACAAATTTTAATTAAGCAAAGTACTTAGACTGCAAGTGAGTATGTTTGTAAGTGAGCATAACAACTTTTGCCGTTTTTGCAGCACTTATTTTCGTCTGGAACCACAGAAAAACACCTCATGCATAAGTATTTGATTTTATATTTATTACATTTCGTCGAGGTGATGGTGCAAATAATTAAACACAAATAGAACGCGATAACAAACACAATTACAAAACACAAATTCAGGCAAAAAGTGAAGTATAATAAACTGCCTAAAAGGCGGCAGTGGAGGGAATTCAGCCAAACGAATATGCGAATTTCCTCGTTAATTATTTAAGGCCGGGAAAAGCAGCCACCCCAAAACCAAAACCCAAGCCCAAAACCCCTTCCCTTCCATTTCCAACTGTCGGCATATTTGTTCGCGTTCGTTGAACGTATTTTCAATTAACAGAAAAACACTCGGATGGCACAGCAGCGCCTCCCAGTCGGCGCACAACTTTGATTTGTTTAATTAAATTACACTCAGACAAAGGCTTTCAATCATTCACAGCTCTCCAATCACTCATTGGCTCAATCACGCGCTCAACTTCAACGGGAGTCAATATGCAACTGCGTGAATGAGTGTGTGCCCGTGTTTGTGATTTAGAAACTACAGCCCACCCACAATTCGCCGCCCAGAAGTAGTGTTGGCCATTACGCACTTAACCGAACGGTACTTACTTTTAGTAATTACTAGGAGGAGCGGGGTAAAAAATAAAGGTCACACTTAAAAAACAGTATTTTAAAACTTAGTCATTTAAATAAATTTTTTGCATTGCAAAAGTTTTTTCTTTACGTTTGTTTGTTTTAAAACTGTTCATTTGTAGTAATAGAGTTATATGCATTTTGAGGATGAATGCAATATTTCTTTTGGCATTTTTACGGCAGATAAACCTTTTTGAAGACAATATGTTAGCATTATAAATGTAGTTAATAGTTAGGTTACCCTTAAAAATGTAGTAAATTAATATTTCTGTAGTCTTTAAAGTGACTTGCTGAAAACAATATTTGCGTTTTGTGAAGCCAACCTTGAATAGACCTCGGCATCACTGCCAACCACCCACCGCCCACTTTCGCCACTTTCCCCACTTCTGGATATTTGTAGTGTGGCTCAAGTACAACTTATCCAAATGCAGTGCAAACCGTTCGCTCAAGTTTGTGTGCGCTGTTCGCACGACTCAAGAGAGCTGCCATGGAAGTTGGATTGAATCGTTAATTAATGCATGATAAACTGGAGAGGCAAGGTAAGCACATGGAATGCGAGCCCAATGTGTGTTGTGCCAAATGAAAATGACGAAAAAAAAAAAGGAAATAACACAAGACAAGGGAAAACAGAACAAAGAGTATGCAAATTTATACACGCCTTCATTTAGGCATTTTGCTTGCGTTTTTTCTTTTCCTTCTGGGAAAACAGCTTTGCGAATTTTGTTTACACATCTTGCTGGTTTTTGCCTGCATTAAATTTAAGAAATTGGAAATCAACTTGTTTATTGCAAACATCAATTTATTTGCTTAGTTTATGCAAATATACAAGAATAAATAGACAAGAAAGAAACTAAAAGTGCAGCAATATATGACAAACGATCCCAATCAAGCGGATATTATTTTATGTGCGTAGTTTTCCCAACCACTTTCCATTAAAAACAAAGTTTTTCTTTGGCAAACTTTGCAAGCTCATCATAGATAGATTTAAACTAAGTTTCCTTGGAAAAAAAAAACTGAACGAAAACGAGACGTTTGAAGGATTTAAAACAGTATACATTGTGACCTTGTGGAAAATGTGAAAATGCGAATAATAAATAGTCTTTGCCAGTTCACATGCCACTTTCATATGCTGAGAAAATTGCACTGGAGCGTTTGCGAAAATGTTTCCCAATACTCCACACGATTTTTCAATTGTCAAAAACGGTTGACGTTTAAGTAGAAATAAAAACCACTTTTTTGTTAAACTGGTAAAGATTTAACTCTCGAACAAAAATAACTATTTTGGGTTCATTCATTTTTTCCGTTTAAATACTTCACATTTTTCACAACCTAACTAACTGTTGACTAAACAACGTCTAAAAAAAAAACTAACTGAACAAACCAAAAAACTATTCACAGCTTATCGGCAAACAATAGACCATTGAATAAATATCAAAAGCAAATAGCCATAAATATTTTTTCTTTACCCCATTTCGGCACGGTTTTTCCGACAATTTTTTTTATTAGATTTTCACCGCTTTCCCGCATGGCGGGAAAATATTTTGAGCCATTGACAGCGAATGAAGAGCTGAAAAAGGGAATCATTTATGCCGCTTTAAAAGCCACAATCGCTGGGCCAAAAAGTCAGGGTTTGGGCCACATGGTCCGCGGTCCATGGGAATATTTTCGGCCGGGGACAAAAATGGCAATACGATACATAACGCAATAACGGTAACGTGTCGACTTTTACGACATAGAAAACGCGAAGGGCGCGAAGCTTTACGATGCCCGCATCATTTGATTTTATTGCCAAGTGTTGAAACAGGAGGAAAAGCCCCGAAAAAAACGTGAAAAAACAGGCAGCAGGAGCAGACAGATCCTTTCCGCGCGATGGGTGATGGGCGATGGGTTGAAGGGTCGTCCTTGAGCCAGTTGTTTCTGATTAATGCCATCCGACGTGAAGGATGCAGCGGAGCACGGCACAAAATGCAAATCACCCGGCGGAATAATCAAATCGACAACGAAACTGAGCAAAACGGCATCAAAGTTGACGACGAACGGAAGCTGCTGCACAAAGGCAACAAACAGCACACAATTGCATTGCCCAAGGGCAAAGGACGAACAAGATGCAGGTGTTCCCACGCCCACACCCACGCCACCCAATTACTCCACCACCCACTATCATCGAAGGACACAAGGGCAGCAAAATCAATTAATTTAAAAAATATCCCCTGCATTTGTTGACATTTCTGCAGTTAGGCAGCCAGGCGGCAACTATCAGGGCATAGAAATCAACAAATATTTGCATAACCTGTTCGTTCCTGTCTTTTGCCCTGTTTTTCGGATCCTGTGACATTCTCGCATTTATTGACGTTTTCTATTTACCAGGCTCAGACTGTCTCCCATTTTGACAGTTTATTTCATGGGACATTTGTGCATTGAGCGCCGGATGGGAATTTGCTGAATTGTTGCATGTTAGCTGGCATGCGAGACATTGGCATGTGGCAAGGATTGTTTGAAATATATTGGAATCCCATCTGAAAAGTGCACTGACACGCACGGATGTTGGTTTCCTCACTAAAAGTGGACGGGACAAGTTGATTGAAGCCAACCACGTTGACTTAGACAACATCTAAAGGGAATTGTTAACAGTTATTTCAACTTTGATTGAAGTCTAAAAAAATGTGAGTATTTAAAATTAGTTTGTTGCTTTGCTTTGCATCCAAAAAAGAACAGAAAAAATAATTTGAGATTCTATGATTGCTTTTCATTTTTATTATGTTTATTTTTTAATTAATAATGCTGTCTTTGCAAAATAATATATATATCAAATACTCGTGTTTTTTTTGGGACAAAGATTCTGATTCATAATCTCAATGTCAAGTCTTTTAAAAAACTAAATTTAATTGCAAGGAACTAAATATTAGTACTGTTCATCAAACACAAAACTAAATAAATTTGTAATAGGCTTTAAATAGCTTTTGAATTCATTAGCTAAACATATAAATCATTTTGCAGAAGCGATGACTAGGCATAAGCAGAAAATCAGTAAAGAATCAGAAAATAAAATTTAATTACCGACTGAAAGTGTTTCTTTCCGAACGCTCAAGCTGGAAAAGACTGAAGATGATAACTAGACCATAAATTGGTATTTCAGTCTTCTCCTTAAAATTATTGAAGACGTGGGTTTCTTAGTATATTTTTATGATTTTAATGAATGTGATTCGTTTCGTTATTTTTATCATATCATAAACCGTACAATAAACATAATACATAATAGTTATCTCTCCTTCACTAAATACAAAGTTATACAGGGCGTTGAATATAGAATATTTATATGGTATATATCGTTTTTGACTCGTTTCCCTTTCTTCCATAAAAATACATTGTTTGGATGCAAAACGTTTTGGCCAAAATCAAATGTTATTACAAATAAAAAACGAAAAATGTGAGGGTACACTTTTTAAATTAATTTGGCTTCTTTCATTCTTTTTAAAGGATTAACAAAATTTTTGGTTCCTGAAAATTGCTTTTTGTTTGCCCCTCATTAAATATACAAAGTAGAGATGTGACAACTTCCGTTCATGAGAAAGTTATCCGAAATTAACATACATTTTGCATCTTTTTCGACAAATTAGGACACATAGTTCGGTTTGGGCAAACTAAGCAAACCAGGTGAAGGGCTCTATTTAAATCCAGCGGTTTTACCGCTGCTGCTGGTAGATTGGAATGTTGTTCTTGACAGCATCGTTCTGCATGTGGTAGCCAGGAGCGCCAACGGGCGGGCCTCCGGCCATCGACATGGCCGCCATTTGCTGGTGCAGCTGACTAAACTGATCGTGTGGTGGGTGCTGCTGCGGTGCCTGGGGCTGCTGATGCTGCGGCGGCTGTGGCGACATGTAACTTTGCGGATTGACGGCCGGCGATCCGTTTGGCGCATACAGATTTGGTCCTGGTTGGTATCCCTGCGGAGGCGGCGGCTGCTGGTGCTGCGGCGACATGTAAACGTGGGGAGCTGGCGGCTGTTGCGACTGCTGGAGTTGCGTTACTGCGGGCGGAACTTGCGCGTACTGCGACTGGGGGTCGATGTGGTAGCTGTTCTGGGGATGCTGCGGTGCCTGCTGGGGATGCTGTGGTGTTGGCTGGGCCAGCGGTTGCTGCTGCTGCTGCTGCTGGGTGGTCACAGGAGTGGGCTGAGAGTTGTAAATAGATTGGGGAACTTGTCCAGGGGCAGCCGGCTGAGCCAAATGAGGTGGCAGCGCTGGAAAATGTGATTGCATATGAAAATCATAACATTTCTTTCGAAACGTGCTTTATACTCACAATTCATCTGTGCCGCATGTCCATTCTGATAGGGCAGTGGCACTTGACTCTGCGGTTGACCCAGATAGCCACCGGGAGCTCCAGGGGCCTGCGATGGAGCACCAGCGGGAGGATTTTGAACGGCGCCATAGGGCAGCGAATGCATTCCCGGATAGTTTTGGGCCGGAGGAAAGCCACCAGCTGCGGGATAACCTGGAGCTCCGTACAGAGCGGCACCCGGAAAGCCAGCCAGTCCGGGCATGAATCCACCAGCAGCGGCGAACTGACCAGCCGCCACACGATCGTCGCGCATCAAGGTATGGTAGAGATTAATGGCATCCACGAGGTCACTGGACAGTTGCGTCAACTGGGCGTGCTTGCGATCCACTCGCTCCAACTCCGCATCAATCAGCGGACCCATCTGGTGGACCTCCTGCTCCAGTTGCAGCATCTCATCACTATCTTGCGAGGGATCCTCGGGATTGGCCTCGTGCAGCAGATGCAGCAGTCGATCGATCTTCGACTCGTCGATCTGCACGGGCTGAGCAGCGGCGGCAGCAGCTGCCGCTTCAGTCTTTTGCTGCAGCGCCGCAGCGGAGTCCAGTTCCTTTTGCCCTCCGGCAGCGGCTGTCTTATGCTGCTGATTGATGTCCAGGCGCTCGGGATCCACAGACAGATCGGCAGTGACAAAGTTCGAGGGGAAGAGACCCTCGCCGCGCTGATTGTAGCCCTTCCACCAGTTGGGATCGCTGTCGTCCAGCACATGGATGATCTCGCCCGAAAAGAAGGTCAGTTCGTTCTCCTCCGCCGCCTCGAAGTCGTACAGGGCGCGTACCTTTCTCGGTTCCGGAGCAGGAGTGGGGTTTGCCTCGGGTGCACTGGAGGTTCCAGCGCCACCGAAAGAGGGATACAACGAAGGATAGGCACTGGTGGTACCGGCACTAGCAGCACTTCCCGTTTTCGGACTGCCCTTGTTCTCCTTCAGCGACAATTCGATGGCCTTGGCAATGTCGTCCTCCTCCTGCTGGCTGCTCACCACATTCGGATCCTTGGGAAGGGCGGCTGCCTTCTCAGCGACCGTCTTGCTGGCCTTATCGCCTAGGTTCTTGAAGTCGTAGCCCTCTTGGCGCAGCGTGGCATAGAGAGCGGGTATCAAGTCCAACTCCCGGTCGTTCTTGTAGTCGTTTTCAGCCCAGTTCTTGAGCACTTGTCGCATTTTCTGAGGAATAATATAGATTTAGAAGGGAGTTTCACTGAATTAGTTTCTATTTACTTACCACGGAAACCTTGGGTTGTGCTTTGGCCAACAGTCGACGGAACTCGGTCTCGAAATCCCTGGAAGCCACCTCTAGGTGAAGAGGTTTTCCGCAGTTGTTGGACAAAGCATCCAGTAGAGTAATAGCCTGCATCACCACATGAGGATCGGTGTGTCCCATTCGGCGCATTACCGCTTTCAAGCAATCTTTTGCCAAACGGGGATTAGTAGTAACCTTATCACACACATCCAGGATCAAAGACCAGTTATCATTGGTGTTGGTCTCACTGGTGGCTTTTTCTATAAAGATATTAAACAAAAGAACGAATTAGCTTATCAGTTGAATAGAAATCGAGTTCTGACTCATGCCATAACAAAGATAAGACTGATTGCAATAATAAAAGAAAATCAATACAAATATGGCCTGCTAAATTGCATTAAAAGAGGGGGTGACTTTGCGGAAGAAAAAGGGGGTGGTGGTCTGCCTACGTCACTCAAGGTCAGCGACTGCCAGACGAGGAAAAAAACTCCAATAAGAAGTTCAACGAACGATTGAAAGCTGCGCACAGCATCTCTCACATGACTTTCTTTGTTGTCTGTTTAATTGGGAATCGGTTTTCCAGGGTAATGGGGGTTATGTTCGCGAGGGTTAAAACCCCTAGATAAGAATAGAAAACTATGAAATGCAATGGTCCGATGTGCAGTCCAATTGGAAACTGCGCCTCCAGCAATCAGCAAAACCAATCGTCTGTTGTTATACTCACCCACATCGGCATCGAATGGCGACGACTGCCCAAAGATTCCCATCTTTATGACCAAACAAACGCGCAGCTACCTAAAAACAATCTCCGCTGCTTCGGGGTCAATAAAATCTAAATCAGTACAATCTTTGTCTGGTTTCCCCTATTGTTTTTCCTGTCCAATCGATTTTCGGTGCGTCACGCCGCCTAAAAAAAGGTTTTCGAGTTGCTATTGCCTTCGGAAATGATTATCCCGATTTCTTAATATCTTTCTCGCTGCTATACTTTCTTCTGTCTTGCTTTAAACGGCAAAAAGAACTAGTAACTTGATTAATTTACGTTTATTGTGTAAAAAAGTGACTAATGGCAAATGTGACCAGTTGGCTTGAATTCAGGAAAAAGTGAAATATCGATATCTTGGTTAGGGGTGTTTGTTTCTTGGAGTATTGTGACTGGTAAGTGAAACATTTTACCAAATATCTAGAAGGTTAAGTACTACTAACTTCTAAGTCATAGTGACCCCAATTTTAAAAACTATTAATATTTTAATTCTGCTTAACATTTATTTCGATAGTCATAGTAACATTTACAGGAGTTCGTCAGTTTTGGTGAAAAGTCACTGAATAAGTTAATTGTAGCATGCGGCCACATTAATCGCAGCATTCGAAAAAAACGCGCAAATAAAGAGACGCCGAAAGGAAAAATACAAAATAAAATAAAAATATTCGATTTCCTTCATTGTTGATAAACAATAATTTAAAAAGAAGCGCCATGACGCTTTCCCGTACAAAGCACGCTAACCGCAACCATCTGCCGCACTTGCTGACAAAAGTGCCTGAGGAGCACCAGGAGCCGATCAAAAATATGTGCCTCAAGATGATGTCCCACGACGCCTATGGAAAATCGTATGTTTTATTAATAAAATAAAAAGACCGCATCTCAATTTGGCTTCCCTAGGTACGACTGGAGTGCCCGTGACTTCGAAATGGGCGCTCACTTGGGACGTGGTAAATTTGGACGCGTTTATTTGGCCCGGGAGCGGCATTCCCATTATTTGGTGGCCATGAAGGTCATGTTTAAGGAGGAGCTCCGCAAAGGATGTGTGCAACGCCAGGTTCTGCGTGAAATCGAGATCCAGTCTCGACTGAAGCACCCACACATTCTGCGCTTGCTCACTTGGTTTCACGACGAGAGCCGAATATACCTTGCTTTGGAAATCGCTTCAGAAGGAGAGCTTTTTAAACACTTGCGCGGAGCACCCAATAACCGATTCGATGAACCGAGGTCCGCTAAGTACACCTACCAGGTGGCAAACGCCCTGAACTATTGTCATTTGAACAACGTAATCCATCGCGATTTAAAGCCGGAGAACATCCTGCTGACCAGCACCGATGATCTAAAGCTGGCCGATTTTGGTTGGTCTGCGCACACTCCTAACAACAAGCGGAGGACACTTTGCGGCACTTTGGATTATCTGCCGCCAGAGATGGTGGATGGAAATTCGTATGACGACTCGGTTGATCAGTGGTGCCTGGGCATTCTGTGCTACGAGTTTGTTGTCGGCAGTCCACCCTTTGAATCCAACAGCACGGAGAGCACCTACAGCAAGATCAGACGCATGGAAATCGCCTATCCATCGTATTTGTCGAAGGGCTGCAAGGAACTCATTGGCGGGGTAAGAAGTGGGAAATTATCAAGGTGTCAACCCATTGCTTAACGTTGGTTTACTCCTTGTAGCTCCTCCGCAAGCAGAGCGCTGGCCGTATCACCTTGGTGGAAGTTATGACGCATCCTTGGGTGAAGGAGGGAATGGCCCTAAGGGAAATGGAGCTCGAGAAACGAAAGCGCGGGAAGGAGAACACGGCCAGAAACTAAATGGTTTCGAGCTTGAATTTTTTAACGACTTTTTTACAATTCTACTTTAATGTTAAATAAACGGTTTAAGCAATTAAAAAAACGTCCTGCAGTTTGGTATTTTTAAATGTTTCAGATATTTAAATACCTTTAAAATTTTATAAATTGTTTGCTAAAAGAGGTATAATATTAAAACATGAAATTATGCGATCAAGTAGGCAAGATTTGCTTACCATAAAAACAATATTTTCTGTCAAAATTATTGTTTTTTTTCTCATACTATCCTCTTACTTGATCCCTTCTCAATCTATGTGCGCTACATCTATGACCGCTGGCGGTTTCCCTTCAATGGGCAGTGCAATATTTTCGCGCTTCTAGCGAACGGTCACCCTAAATAAATAAATGACAATTTCAAGCGTAAAATAAACCCGTAAAAAGTCAATGAAACGCTCGATTTGTGAATTGTGCACCCACCAGTGAGTGGGAAAAGTGCGGCAGACGAGGCTACCGTCACCAGGAGCCTAAAATCTCGACCAGAAACGGATCAAGGGCCATTCAAAGCGTCGAGGAAGTACAGCAACAATTGTTATTTTTCGCCCGTTGATTTTCTGGGGGAGGGGGCTACGAACATCAGCCCCTTCGGTTTCTAATTGAATTAAAAAAAAAAAAAAGGTGGGAAGAGGCAATAATACCCCGGTCAGTGCAATAAAACCTAGCAATGGTCTTCATCCGGGATCCCTGTGGCATCGCCTGCTTGGTGGTCACCTACGGCGCAGTTTTATATGCGGACTATGTGGTCATTCGCTGGATCATCCTGACTACGATGCCGGGCAGGTGAGTAATCAAGTGATGCACTCAATAAAAACCATATCAAATGATTCAACACCTTTTCCTAGTCTGTGGATGTCCTTCCATGTGGTGCTCTTCAACACCGTCGTCTTCCTGCTGGCCATGTCCCATTCGAAGGCGGTGTTCTCCGATCCCGGCACCGTGCCCCTGCCCGCCAACCGACTGGACTTCTCCGACCTGCACACCACCAACAAGAACAATCCGGCGCCCGGAAACGGCCACAGCAGCGAGTGGACCGTGTGCACCCGGTGCGAAACCTACAGGCCGCCGCGCGCCCACCATTGTCGCATCTGCAAGCGGTGCATCCGACGCATGGACCACCACTGCCCCTGGATCAACAACTGCGTGGGCGAGCGCAACCAGAAGTACTTCCTGCAGTTCCTCATCTACGTGGCCCTGCTGTCGCTCTACTCCATCGCCCTTATCGTCGGCTCGTGGGTGTGGCCCTGCGAGGAGTGCAGCCAGAACGTGATCGAAACCCAGTTGCGAATGTAAGTTTTAGAGAGGAGGTGGTCCGCCATTACAAAAGGGGAACCTGCAGCCTTTTTTGGGCTGGAATGATTTGCATACAAAGTAGAATTTCAATTGCATTGTCAGATAGAGTAAAATCTTTGTTAGTTTAGCTGGAAAATAACTATATTTCGTATTCAGGTGTGTCATTGATATTTTTTATATCGAGTTCCAACGGTAGAAAGATATTATTGTGACACTCCTGACTTACGCATGAAACATTTCTCTTTTGCAAATAGTATAATACTTGTTTCCTTTTAGGATTCACTCGGTTATCCTAATGCTGGTGTCGGCACTATTTGGCCTCTTCGTAACGGCCATCATGGTGGACCAGCTGCACGCGATTCTGTACGACGAGACGGCCGTGGAGGCGATACAGCAGAAGGGCGCCTACCGGCCCAATCGGCGCAAGTACCAGCTGCTGGCGGATGTATTTGGACGTGGGCATCCGGCCCTGTGGCTGCTGCCCTGCACCAGTCTGAACCACGCCTCCCGCTACCACGACACGCCTCTTTTGAGCCACGAGGTCTAGGGTCCGGGAATATTCTTTGTATTTTGTCCTTGTGTTTATTGTGCGGCCAAGGCGGCCCGCGAGTGTTTTTAGTTTTTAATTATTGTGTGTGATTTTCTTTTAATCAGCCTCCCCACCCGCAGCCAGTCAAATTGATTCGTAAATCGTATTGTGTATTATATGCAGATTCCACTTAATTTATGCTTTAGTTTATAATCGTTTGAAATTATAAATATAAAGGAAGCAGGAGCAGGAGCATACTCAAAATGAACATGGCTATTTTATAAGGAACTTTTTGCAATCGCTTGTTTAGAAATGCATGCGTAGATTATTGGTACACCGATGTCAACGGAACACCAATGAAATCTTCGGCCACCCGTGGTATTTTTTACCAGTATCCAACTAAGCAGCACATTCTGATATGAGACGTAGGAAAATCTCAATTGTATACAATACTAAAATAGCTATGTACCGAGCTAGGGTATAAGTCCTTAAGAAAGCATTTACGATAAACCCGAAGATAGACGCATATACCAAAAACCAAGTAAACAAAGGAGATCAAACACTCGTATAAAATACTGTGCAGCAATAGATTGTAATGTTTGTAATCACCTTCTTTAGTTGTAGTTTATTGTTTTTTTGACATTCACGACCATCAACCAGCACTAACAAGATTTTGAATGTAACACCGTCATCCGCAAATTGTGCCCCTTGAACAGTTGTTCCCAATAAAGCTAACCGATATGCATAAGTAATTAATCCAGTTCGCTGCCCAGGCCTTCTACGCTAAGAGTTAGTTGTTGCAGGGCTTGCTTGGCCACGCCGCAGAGGACTCCCTCCTGGGAGCTCTTGTCCTCGAACTCCAGGATTTCCACGCATTCCGTGAGGAGATCTATGGCGTCCACAAGGCGGGCTCGCAGCTCTCCGCCTTTTAGTTTGCCGGCTATAAAACCACTTTTGGCAAGGAGCACTAGTGGAACGTGCAACTCATAGAGATTCATAGCTCGAGTTCGACTTAGACCTGGTTCAAAGGTGTTCAGCACCCGGAGAACTTGCCGGCAGAGCTCCGCTTTACGCTCCAGTTTCTGGTCCGGCAGTTGGACCATCTCGTAGCCCTTCACCCTGCCGTACATCTCGATGAGCAGTTGCCTCAAACCAGTGGCGATGTAGTGGAGTGGATGGAGCAGGGATTTGTACTTGCGCAGCAGGCGCTCCACTTCCTCCAGCCGCTTGGCTCCATTCTCCAGGGATTGCACCGCATTCACTTCGGCTTGAAGGGACTGAAGCATCTTCTGCGCCTCCGTGTTGCTGGTGGTGGCGCCACAGCTGCTGCAGATCCAACTGGTGTCCGTTTCTAAAAGGTAAAGTTCTGACTTGATAAGGTAACAGAATTTGGTAACTGAAGAGCGCACCTGTGGGTTCCCTGGGCACTTGGAATCCCTCTGCACACTGGCCACATTTTAGGCTGGAGAAATGTGTACCCAGTTCTGTGGGATCCAGACAGCGATCGCATTTGCAGCTGAAGAACTTGCCCTGCTTCAGGTGGTTCTGTCTCTGGGAAGTGCCATCCAGGGTATAAGTGTAGCTGTGATGGAGGGGCTGACCCTCCTCCAAGTCCACCATGGCACGCAGGCGGATTCTATCGGCGAAAACAATTAAGAGTTTACAATAATGATCATGAAAATGTCTCCAAAACTGGCACATTAAAATATTTATTTATTATTATGATTAAGGTATTGCTATAACCAATTTTGTATCGCAAATATGTTTGCCTTTTCTTCATTATATTAAAAAGTCTTCATAGTTGTTTGTATAACTCAGTCCTTATTTGTTTTCATAAGTTAAACGAGTCTTAAATTATGTTCGTGTGTAAATTGTTGAAAATATGTTTGGCTTAACTCAAAAACACAAGAAAGCCATTTTTAACATCATCGTTATAATGATCTGTATTATGTTTCTTAGATTTGTTGTCTTTAAAAGTTATGTGTAATGTGATTCTAGACTTTTTGTAAACGATGCCATTTTTCTTAGAACTTTAAAAATAAAAATGTTTGTATCTCTGACATATTTCTCGGCCAAAACATCTCGAGATGTTTATTTACTTACTTGTAGCCCTCGCTGGGATAGATGCTCCTGCATGTGTTGGGCACGCAGTTGTGGGCCAGAATTCCTGTGTAGGGAAAGAGACACCTCAGGGGATATCCTTTAGAGCTCCTTGCCTCGAAGGCGTTTACCTCCAGGATTCCCACGACCTGCATAATCAGCTCCTCGCTGAAACGGGAGGCCAGTTTGCAAGGACCCCGCAGATACTGAGCTATATTCACACGATCCGCATGCCACAAATCAGCGTCCTTTTTCCGCTCCTCCTCGTGATGCTCCATTGGAGCCACTTTGCTGTCCCATCTTTCGGGATCCTCCTCTTTGGCCAGGAGAACTCTGAAAGAGGAAAACACATACAAATGTTAAAAAGCTTGCTAATAAATTAGTCTATTTTAAACAGGAACTTATAACTCATAAGTTAGGAAAACAATCAGCTTTAATCTTTAACTATGATCATAAATTTTAAACTTTTGCTACGTTTAGATCATTCAATTTGAATTAATTTTTTAACTAGCATTTTTACAATTTATTATTTATATGTGTGATAACTTTTTGAATGAACTAATTGCAAAACTTTTTATAGCAAGTTTTATACACAACCGATTTGCGAACGTCTAGAGATTACTTTAAACACCCCCGATGTGCGGAAAAATGCGAAAATATTTGGCTGCCTGGGTCTATTTTTGTTCCTCCCGCTGGGCTTCACCTGAGCGGCAAGATACAGTCCAACTGGGGGCAGTGGCTGCTCCCGATGGGCAGAGGAAAGAATCTGGCACGAGCATCACTCAGAACACTGCACTCCATCTTGGAATGGTGGTTATCCTCATTCCGGGAGCAGTCCTCGCACAACGGCCATCCGCATTCGAGGCAGTGCTCCTCTTCGGGATCAGGATCGGGTTCATAGCATCCCAGGCACACCACTGGTCCATTGCACTTGGGTCCCAGGGCGAAGGGCAGTTCCTCGGTCAGGATTTCGCGACCAGGAGTCGCACTCTTGGCCACCAGAAATCGTCCGCAGAGCGGACTCCATTCAACCGACGTCCGATTCACCGACAGCGTTGGATTCGATGTCATTTCGCTGACTGACGCCGGCTAACCGAACTCATATCTTGGGCCAACCAACCTCTCAGATGATGCTATATGCCCCACTACTCAGCTGAATTTCAGGCTGCTCGGGCATAAAGCATCATATCGGCTGGGCACAGTGGAAATAAAGGTTCATCTGTAGACAAATTCATACATTTTATAAATACATAGAGGTCCACCCTAATCACATATCTTGAGTTGCTAAGACTTTCTTGTCTAGTTGTACATATTATATGTTCTACGTATATAATAAAATATGCGGTGGATTAACTAAATACACAAAAACGAATAATTCACATGCTTGCGTTTTAGTTTTAAAAATTCACTCAAATTAATAATACATACTGATAAGATGTTTTCATTTTTAAGTATCCATATATATATGATTATTAACATCTTTAGTGAATAACATATAATACATAATTATATAATGGTTAACAATTATAATTTAGGCAATTCATTTGTTGATAATATACAACAAATAAAATATTGAGAGCATACTTTAATTTGCCTTATAGGTGAATTAAAATATCTAAAAAATCTAAATATATTTTTTAAGCTATATTTTAACACGTTAAAAGTTATTTAATTTAGCTTTAGCTTAGTTTTTACGATCGTTGATATTTGTGATTTTGGTAAACATAAAGGTTATTTGTTGTGATTTAAATTAACATAAAAATTGTGCAATATATATTTTGTTTTAGTAAAACAGAAAAAGATTCTGTTTACTTCATCCGAGATGAACCCCACTGTGCCCTTTACTTTGTGCATGATCCATCGTCTTTCTTGACGTAGTCGCCGTGAATTTTCGCTTGCCGAACCGGCAGGCGATGATCTCTGAGAAATGGGCCGCGGCTGCCAAAACTAATATTCTGACAGGTTCCCCAGAAGCCCCGGAACCCCGAGATGCCACAGCACCACCCTCACCCCGCTGGAAGCACCATCGAACTAACCTCAATATTGTTATGCAATTTAATTGCGGGCAGACACCGTCATCGCTCACATTCCCGGCGAAAGTGACACGTGCGGCGGAGAAGACCTGGCACTCTCCTTCATGGTCGGTGGCGTCATCGTCGTCGGCACACGATCCGCACAGTGGCCAATCGCAGACTTCGCAGCGATCCAGCGAATCACCATCGTCACCGAACTGAAGAAACTGATAGCATCCCAGGCACACGATCCCACTGTCCCGTTTTGGCCCGCGGGCAAAGGGCAGCTCCTCCAGGACGAGGTCGCCCCGCTCCACGGCGGAGGAGGTGGCCAAGTAGCGACCCAGGACGGCGTCCTCCTCCAGGCGGGCCTTCAGCATGCTGTCGCCGCACAAGAACTTAAATCACTGCCCTCGATTAGGCCCATCTGATTCGGTTTACTCGGTCGATTAGCTGCCGCCCTGCACGAGTGCATAATGCGACTTCTATAAATAAAAACAAACAATCGAGTGTTGTCAAAGAGCCAGGTGGTAATTTATTACTTTTTACTTATTGGTTGAATAGTCAAAATATATTAAAATTTGTTAATTTGTTTGCAATTGTTTGGGACATTTGTTACGAGGTTGCAACTGCAGCAATGTAAAAATTGAATTAATATTAAATTACAAATGTATATTTACGAAAAACAAAAAGAAATATTTATATTATCCAATAAAAGGGCAACAAAACTTAAAACTGAGAGTTTAAATTAAATCTTAAATCTTCTGTGTTAAATAACGTAAATGCACTTAACGTTTTTGTAACGGTATCAGAGCAGCGGAGGCTAACCTTTCGAGCCTTGAACCACTGCCTTCCAAGGTTTAGAAAACAAATTTTAAAGAATATGGATTTTTTAGTAAATTGCAAGTTTGGGAAGACCGCAGCTCCACTCGGCCACACTGCAGAATTTTCAAAAAAATTTTGTGGTGTGCGTTTGTCGTGTCTCTGTTCCTCTGCGTTTCGCATTACACTTTACTAAACTAAAACTCATCAAAAGTAAGTAAAGCCTAATGGACCCTATATTCCAAACAAGAAAAAAACAATGGAAAGCCCCCAAGAACCGGGAATTGGGATTTTCGCTGCAAGTGATTTCATAACCTCGAAACGAAAAAATTGCAAGTAGACACGCGCATGAACGCGAAAGGGCTGAGATCTTTTTCGGGTGACAAAAATCGAATTTGTTATCAGTGTTTTGCTCAATAATTAATTGATAAACGGTAAATCAAAGTAGAAATATTACCGGTCAGCTAACACACACATCAAAAGATACACACGCACACTACTGCAGATACAGTTCATTGGCAGCCGGCGTATGAAAAAATAGAAGACAAGAAGCAGAAAACGATGGAAAAGTGCCTGGCGAATTTCTTGTTACGTAACACTCACAGTCAATGTGTTAGTAGCGCTCTCGTTTAAATTGTTTTGATCAATTCCGTTCGTTATCGTTATGTTGCCACCCACCTCGTCCCTCAATAAACATTTCAGATTTTCTCTTTCTCGACTGTTCTTTTATCACTGTTTGTTTGTGGTCATGTGAGGTGGTGCACTTTTGATTGTGGGTGGTAGTTTTTCTAGCAGTGACATCACCTGGAAAATCAATACTGCTCGGTATGACACCTTTTCGTGCTGTGTAGTTTGGCTTTCCCAATCGATTTCGCTGACTGTTATGCAACTGGGGTAAATGGGGTGCCTGCCCCCTCCCACTTTATAACCTCCTTGTCAAGGTCATAAAAAGATGCCAATTCAATTTTTTAAGGAGGGAATACAATGGGATGTTTTTCATTATCTAGTGACCAGGTTATATCACCTGACATCCGAATAAGTTTATCCCATTTCCCGTTTGGCTGCTGGCCATAACGACTTTTGTCTGCCGCACGCCACTTTTCATAATTTTCCGCCTTGGCTGTCGCGTTTGATATTTCCCAACCACTGCATCTTTTGGTATACACAGAAAAAAAATTTTGCAAAAAAGAAAATCTATTTGGAGGTTTTTTTACAGCGCATAAAAACTTCAATTGTTTAAATATATGTACATATGAAATAGTTTTTTTTTTTTTTTTAATTATATCTTCCTTTGTATGAACTGTGTCCAATATCCCCACCGTGTCTTTGCCTTGCATTCTTGACGTCACGCAAATAGAAACAGCGAAAAAGAGCCCAAAGCAGAGGCTGCAAATTTGCAGTTAGCTTCTGTGTCAATGATCGCTTCCCCAGCGGAATGAACTGACCAGCAATTAATGCCAACAAGTACGAAACGTAAACATAGATGCCCACATACACGGCCACACAAATAGGGATAGATTTATTTAAAGATCTAGAAGGCTCTTAAAAAATCGACTCACGTAGCTTTGCATAGTTTTGTTGATTCATAATTTAAAAAAAATGATATTAATATAATATTGATAACTTGGTGGATGTGAGCATCGTAACAAATATTTTTACATCATGTGAAAAATATCATCCGACCCTTTTGTCAATTGATTAGGAGTAGAGCGTAATAGCAGCCGACAATAAATAGAGTAAACAAGAATTACTAAAATTGGGTTTTCAAATTCCGGAGGTGATAGAAAAATATTAAACAGTTCATTTCAAGTTCCCTAAAATAATTTAGAATATATTATATCGAAAGACCCATACCGTGGATAAGTACATAAGCCTTTATGCAGTTAGCGTACTGTAATTTCTTTTTTATTCCTTAATTTATTCACACGTTAGTCAGCCCTTTCACAAATCATAAAAACCAATCATTGAGTACGATTAGTTCCTTCTCTGTGTCTTTCTTTTTCTACTTTTCCTCGTCACTTTCTTTTGGCCCCAGACGTGCATTGACCCCCTCTCTCAGGCACTCGCCAATTTTCTTTGCCTCATTGGAAAACTCTGTGCCTTTGGCTGCCTTGAACACTAATTTAAATTGATTTATTTATTTTCGCCGCACAAAATTGACATTTAGCCAAAGTGAAAAGAAAAGAGGAAATGGCCTGCAAAATTCTTCGCCCATGTCGATGCTGAATTATACTTTTCACTTTTATTTTGGGGCGATAGAACGCTTTGAAATTGAGTCAAACAGAATGTAATTATCATCATGTTGCTGATAAGATTAAACCAGCCCCCAGCACTTAACTTATCATTCGCTTTGCGCAATAAATGTCCAGCGAGTGAAATGATTTCGCATTAAATAGCCTCATCGTCACTACTATCGATTATTCACCAACTAATTGGCGGCGTGCTTAAATCCACTCTATTCCAGATGGCTCCTCCATCATACAGCGATTTGGGCAAACAGGCTCGCGACATCTTCAGCAAAGGCTACAACTTCGGCTTGTGGAAGCTTGATCTGAAGACCAAGACCTCGTCGGGCATCGAGTTCAACACAGCCGGCCACTCCAACCAGGAGTCGGGCAAGGTCTTCGGCTCCCTGGAGACCAAGTACAAGGTCAAGGACTATGGCCTGACCCTCACCGAGAAGTGGAACACAGACAACACCCTCTTCACCGAGGTCGCTGTCCAGGATCAGCTCCTCGAGGGTCTGAAGCTGTCCCTGGAGGGCAACTTCGCTCCCCAGTCTGGGTAAGATTTAAAACTGAAATCTAAAGTAATGATTAGAATATAATTATGATAACACTATTAAAGGGTTGGTTTTTTTGATATATATTAAAATGATGTTAATTTTTCTTAACTTTCCATAAAAATATCACTGCTAGTCATGGTTTTATTTCGTAATAACGTTTATTGGGTCTTAAAGTTTTATTTTACGATCTTGCCATCAATTGTGGCGTTCTTCATTTTGATTTGATTGCATCAGATTACTTATTTTTATTGTTTTACCACCTTCAACAGCAACAAGAACGGCAAGTTCAAGGTAGCCTACGGCCACGAGAACGTCAAGGCCGATTCGGATGTGAACATTGATCTGAAGGGCCCCTTGATCAATGCCTCTGCCGTGCTCGGCTACCAGGGATGGTTGGCCGGCTACCAGACCGCATTTGACACACAACAGTCCAAGCTTACCACCAACAACTTTGCCCTTGGCTACACCACCAAGGACTTTGTCTTGCACACAGCTGTGTAAGTACTTACTACCAACTATTTTGGTCAAGAGGAATATAAATTAATGGTTTCATTTTCTCCTGTTTAGCAATGATGGCCAGGAGTTCAGCGGATCGATCTTCCAACGCACTTCGGACAAGCTGGATGTGGGTGTGCAGCTGTCGTGGGCCAGCGGCACTAGCAACACCAAGTTCGCCATCGGCGCCAAATATCAGCTGGATGACGATGCCAGCGTGCGTGCCAAGGTGAACAACGCCAGCCAGGTTGGATTGGGCTACCAGCAGAAGCTCCGCGACGGAGTCACTCTGACCCTGTCCACGCTGGTCGATGGCAAGAACTTCAACGCCGGCGGCCACAAGATCGGTGTTGGTCTGGAGCTGGAGGCCTAAGTTGATGGTTTCCCCGTCAGTCGTGGAATCCTTGAAAGTTGTCTAACATCCCCACACGCCCAACAACAACAACAACAACAGCAGCAAGACAAAAGTGCAGTAACAACAAGAGCAAGCAAAAATAAAAGAGTACAGATATTCTTCAAAAAGTAATACACAGTCAAATATACAGAGAATCTGCACATTTAAACGATTAGATTGGATCAGTGTCGCCGGCCATCACATCCACATCCGCGTCCGCATCCCCCACTTCCTGCCCCCAGCCACCCGAATCTGCAGAAGAGACACTGCCAACAAACGATGCAAGGAGGTGGGTGGATCGATCGGTCGGTTGGTCGGTCAGTCCGTCGACGTCGTTGGATGTAGCTTTGATTAGTGCATTGAAATTAGCAAATTTGTTGTTGGCAAAAGTACAGTAAAAATACATTTACCTATTAAAAAAAAAAATACAAAACAAAATTCAAAAGGAATACTATGGCTCGAGGGGAGTTGCTTTTTTGTAGCTGTCAGGGGTTTTTCCAACAAACTGACGGCGATTTTAGGACACACTTAACCCCAAACCACATATTTATTAACCATCTCTAACTTTTCGTTGTGCATTTACTTGAGAAATAAATTGAGAAGCAAATAATACAACGATGTCAGCGTTGGGATCGGATTGATTTGAAGAATTCAATACGTTTTGGTTTGGATTGCACCAATCATAATTTTGAAGTGGAGTTTATCAAGTACTTAAACGTGAAAGATTTATTTATAATACTCATTATATGAGATATGTTAAACCTTTAGCAACCTAGGAAAACATAGTTTGCGGATCACAAGTTAAGTTTCAGTTTAGCTAAGGACACCATGTATTTTAGTTCAGAGGCCTGTAGACTGTACAAAACTCGATACTGATTAGGCAGCACTATACAAAAATTTTCGGCTAATCGAGGCTGTTTAAGCGTAGAGAAAAAAATTTTGAAATCAGTCGGGCCTTTAAAACCCTACCACCTATTCATTCCTCCTGCAATGGCCGAAACGTCTGCGCCACCGGTGTATCCCGACCTGGGCAAGCTGGCCCGCGATCTCTTTAAGCGCGGCTACCACCCGGGTATCTGGCAGATCGACTGCAAGACCCTGACCAGCTCGGGCATCGAGTTCTTCACCACGGGCTTCGCCAGCCAGGACAACAGCAAGGTGACCGGCTCCCTGCAGAGCAAGTACAAGATCGAGGATCAAGGTCTCACCCTCACGGAGCGATGGAACACGGAGAACTGGCTCTTCGGCGAGATCATGCAGCGGGACAAGCTGGCACAGGGATTGATGTTGGCCGTCGAGGCCAAGTTCCAGCCGGGATCAAAGTACGCAATTGGTGAAGTATAAATTCTTATATAATCTCTGGGACTGGGATTGTATCAGAAAAGGGTTTAAAAAAGTATTAGATATTCGTTAATAACTTGCGATATAATTTGATAGGTATGTTATACTAGTATAAACTGTTTTTATAGGTGGAATGTTTATATTTTTTGATCAGTTAACCTCCGTTTGTATTTTTTGTTTTTAGTGAAAATATTTTTTCTGTTTAAACAGCGAGGCGGATGGCAAGTTCAAGATGGGCTATGCCCAGGAAAACTTCAACTTCCTGGCCGATATTGGTCTGAACTCGGAGCCGATATTGAATTGCTCCCTGGTTTTGGGACACAAAGAGTTCCTCGGTGGCGTTGGAACCGAGTTCGATATTGGCAACACCGAGCTCAAGAGCTGGAAAGTGGCCCTTGGCTGGACAAACGAGACGGCCACCCTTCATGGCGAGCTGTAAGTGCTGGAGAGGATTCTATATATTTTGAATATTTCTGAGATCTTTTTCCACCTTGCAGGAAGAATGGGGACACCTGGTTGGCCTCGCTTTTCTACAAGGCGAACGAGAAGATCGATGTGGGTGTCGAGGTGACCAAAGGAGCAGGAGGTGGTGAGGCTCCTGCCGATGGAGCTCCTCCTCCAGAGGAGCAACAGGGCGGAGATTTGATTGTCGGCCTCGGCATGATTTATCACCTGGAGGAGGACGCCCTCATCCGCGCCAAGATCAACAACGTGGTGGAGCTGGGCCTGGGATACGAGCAGAAACTCCGCGAGGGCATCACTGCATCCATTTCCACGGTCCTCGACTGCAACAACATCAAGGACGGCAACCATCGGTTGGGCGTGGGCGTGGCCCTCCAGTGCTAGGATCCATCTCCAATGGCAGTAACTCAATGATTTCAATTTCCAAATTCGTTCAACTTTTTGCATCATAGCAATTTATTTATTTATAAGATGCAAAATCGGGAAAAAAGGTTTTAAAATCAAAATTTTCGTCTTTTATTTTATATACTTACGTTTGTTAATTCAAACATTTATAAAAATAAAACGTCTAACAAATCTCAAAATCCATTTTTATTATCCGTCATATTTTTGATAGCCTTTTAACGATCAGTAGAATTTAAAATTTTTGCCTTCCAAGCCTTAACAGGATAAAAATTTAGGTAATGTCCAGTATTGCATTTTATTTGATCAGATTACCGTTGCTGGATTAATCAAATTTTTCTCAGCCTCTAAATTCGAAGTCATTTTTAGATGTGCACAGGGCCGGTTAGGGACTTTATACGCAACTTGTGCAAGTGTAACAAACGAAAACGTAAGACAGAGGAAAGTCAGGATGCTGAAAGAGCTGAAAGACAAGAAAGAGGGAAAAGAGCTGGAAGGGATGAGAGAGGTGAAAGAGCCGGAAGAAATAAAAGAGCTGAAAGAGGTGAAAAAGATGAAAGAACTGACACAAATGAAAGAGCTGAACGAAATAAAAGAGCTGAAAGAAATGAAAGATCCGAAAGAAATGAAGGAGATGAAAGAAATGAAAGATCTGGAAGAAATGAAAAATTCGAAAGTAATAAAAGAGGGGAAAGAAATGAAAGAGCTGAAAAAAATGAAAGATCCGAAAGAAATGAAAGAGGTGAAAGAAATGATAAAGGCGAAAGAAATGAAAGATCTGGAAGAAATGAAAGATCCGAAAGAAATGAAAGAGGTGAAAGAAATGAAAGAGGTGAAAGAAATGAAAGAGGTGAAAGAAATGAAAAAGGTGAAAGAAATAAAAGAGCTGAAGGAAATGAAAGAGCCGAAAGAAATGAAAGAGGTGAAAGAAATGAAAGAGGTGAAAGAAATGAAAAAGGTGAAAAAAGTGAAAGAGGTGAAAGAGATGAAAGATCTGAAAGAGGTGAAAGAGCTGGAAGATATGAAAGAGACGAAAGAGGTGACAGAGCTGGAAGAGATGAAAGAGGTGAAAGAAATGAAAGAGCTCAAAGAAATAAAAGGGGTGATAGAGATAAAAAAGCTGATAAAGGTGAAAGAGGTGATAAAACAACTGAGGAAAATGCCGAGAAGGATCTGGAGTTCCTGCCCCCGTCGCCGGTGGAGGGTGAAATGGCCTCCTACTTCCATGTGGGATTCCTGGCCAAGATGTGCCTTATCCACGGCTACGACCACGGCGTTTGGAAGCTGCAGACCACTTCGAAGACGGAGAACGACTTCTACCTGACCAGTTTTGGCGAGGGTTACCCGACGTGGAACTCGATCTACGGAGGACTGGAGGCCTACCAGGAGAAGGGAAACTATCACGCATCCCTAGCCTGGCTGACTGACCGTTCTTTGTTGTCCGATCTCGGGGCTCGTGGTGAAGCTTTGGGAGGAATATGGTCCTCCATTCTAAAGACCAACCTAACCACGAGTGACGGGTAAGTCCTTAAATGTCAATTAGTTTGATTTCTCTCCATATTAGATATACATACGCATATAATGTATTTTTAAGAATCTTTCAAGGATTCTTAAACTTAAAAAAAAAGTCATATACATAGGTATGTAAAACAAAGCTAAATAAAATTTAAACAATTTTTAAACCTTTGAATTCAGCAAGATCGGTAAGAGATTCTGTAGAACCAAGGACTATAAAAATATTATGTGTATTTTATGTGTTTTTTTTTTAAATTTCCCTTCATATTTATATCTTTACAGATGTGAGTGTCAGTGCAAGCTGAAGTGCGGCTTTGAACGCAATCCGGGAAAAGTGGAGCTATTCGTTCCAATTTATAGGGAACCCTTGTTGATGGGCTACATTCTTATAGAGCCAGCCACAAATTATTTGCTAGGTTACCGCACAGTATTCAACGTGGAGGATAGAAAATTCGAAATGCACGCCTTTTGTGCGGGCTTCAGCAATAATTCAACGGAAGTGGGAATTAAACTGTAGGTTTATCCCGACTTGTTGTTTAACCTACTTACATTCCAATTTTTTAGGGAGAATTTCGAGCATCTCCGAGGATCAATATTCCAGCGCATTGGAGAGAAGTGGGCCTTGGCTTTGAAGACTAACCTTTATGGAAACGTGAATGCTAGGCATTTATCATTTGGAGGACAATACGAATGGAAGCCTGGTACCTTACTTAAAGCAAAATTGAGAGGCAATTCTCGTATTGCGTTTTCTTTCCAACGGAGAATCCGTAAAGATATTGCAGTTTTGTTTCACGTTGGCTTCGATGGAAACAATCCCATTAATGGAAAGCACTCAATCGGCACTTCCTGGTATTTCAATGAATAGAATTGAAATAATCATTGGTTTTTAATTAAATACAGACTATATTTTAATCAAAACTATATTTGATTTTAAATGTTTTTTTCTAACTGATTTTTCTTTAGTTGTATTTTAAAATTGTAATTTAGATAAACTTGTTCTTTAGTAATGTATAATTTATACAAATAATTTACATTGTATAACTAAAGTTATGCATTTTTACTAATTATTAATTATTATTAAAAAGTTTTCGGCCAGCATAATGTGTTAATATTAAGCTTTTCGAATTTCTGTGCAAGAATTACATTTGCTGACTAGATCAGTAGTTTTTGATCCAGCGTTCAAATGTTTTATTTATTCCAAAATTTTAAGTGTGTTCTTTAAGAATTTGACCTTTTTAACCATGGAAGAAATGAGGTATCGGTTGCGCAACTTGTTTCGACAAAACAAAAAGCGAGCCCGACCCAGCACTTCATCATCCGAAGAAGATAATGGCAAAGCCAAGAAGGAGGACGAAAGCGAGGATGATTCCGGCAAGGAGATTGAGGCTGAGATAATACCCTCACCACTGGCGGAGGGCGAAATGCCCACCTACTTCCATGTGGGTGTCCTGGCCAAGGAGTGCCTCCTCACTGGCTTTAAACTAGGAGCCTGGCAGCTTCAGTGCCTCACGAAGTCGAACCAGGACATTTATATAAGCACTTTCGGAGAAGGTTATCCCACCTTGAGCTCTATCTTCGGAGGTGTGGATCTGTTCAAGGAGTTTGGCAACTTCAGTGTATCCTTGGGTTGGTTAACCAACAATGAAATGTTGTCGGAAATGGCAGTGCGTGGCAGTCAGTGGTATGCACTCCTTAAGTCGACATTTGGCAAAAAAGATGGGTGAGGTATATACTATATCAAGAATAATATACCTATCTTACGGATCACGAATCTCTTGTTTTAAAATACTGAAAAAGAAAAATGTATTTTTTTACCCATACTAAATAGAATTATAATTTTACCTTATAGAATAACACTTTCAACCAAGCTGAAATGTGGATTTGAGCGAAATCCTGTGAAAGTGGAACTAGTTGTGCCGCTCTACAAAGAACCCCTTTTTCTGGGTTATGTTCTTGTTGCTCCAGTAGAGAATTGGGTTTTAGGATATCGGACAGTTTACAATATGGATAACAAAGGTTTTGATAAGCACGCTTTCTGCTTGGGCTTTAGCAACGGAAGTACAGAATTGGGACTTAAACTGTATGTTGTAAAAAATCGAGAAAACTAGTAAAAAAAAAACAATCTAAAATACTTTATTGGTAGTGAAAATTTCGAGGACCTAAGAGGATCAATCTTTCAACGGATTGGAGAAAGCTGGGCCGTTGCTTTAAAATCGAACCTCTATAGTTCGAATAATGTGAAACAACTTGCTGTTGGTGTTCAGTACGATTTCCAGAATGGAACGCTGCTAAAAGCCAAAGTGCGAGAGGATTCCAGAATAGGATTTGTTTATCAAACAAAAATCGGTAAGAATATTGAGGTCATGTATCACCTGGCGTTCGATGGAAACGATCCAATAAAAGGCGCTCATAGGATTGGAGCTTCATGGGACTTTTACTATTAAAAAGTTTATGTAATAAAATTTACGAATAATTTAATTCCAAATTTTAATATTAGTAAAATGTTTTAAAGTTCTTGTTTGTAATAAGTCTAACTCAAAAATTAACTGACCATTGTGTTTCTCATACAATTTCATTTAACTCGTTATTTTAAGAAATGTTTTAGTGATCCTGCTTAATGTTGTTTCGAAATCTTTCTTCTTGAGCTCGGCCGTTATTTTAAAATTGTGTAAGTAATTAAAACGAATACCCCTGTTACAACGTGTAACGGATTCTCGACACAATAGGCGATGGTCACACTGTCACACTGACAGCTCTATTTATCGATTATTTCGTCTCTTTTTTCTCGAAAAAAAATTTGTTGAGTTCAGACGTGTTTGATAATCGTGATGAAATTAGTCAAAAAGTAGCAAGTTCCGAGTGTTTTCCCGCGAATAAAGATAGATCGTTGCGTTGCCGAGCGTTTTTCTTGGTAACTGCAGTGGTAACGGCGCTATAAACGCGAATATTAAAGCAAAAGGTGTCTATTCTCGGAGGCCAAAGTAGGTAAGAAATAAAAATGGCGTCACATGCCAGCACACACACACACATGTAGACTAATATATTTTCTACATTTGCGTACCCTTTGTTCCGAAATCCAGAGGCTAACTAGCGAAAAAAACCCAAAGGTAAGTTCAGGTAAAGCAAAAAACAAAAAAAAAGAAATCACAAAAAGAGAGGGAGTATCATGTCCGAGGCCATGAGTGCCCCGCCGCCCCTCATCCCGCAGCTGCAGGAGATGCAGCAGCAGCAGCAACAACAACAGCAGCAACAGGGGGCCAATAACCCAGCCGCTCTCGCCCAGCAGTGGAGCAACTACGCCTGGTATGCCAATCAAAATGCCGCATACCAGCAGCAATATCAGCAGTACTACCAGTACTACATGCGCTACCAGCAGCAGCAACAACAACAGGTAACCTCGACGGTCAGTGCGTCGAATGCGCCGCCAGGCTTCAGCAATGCGCTGACCGTACCGCCGCCCCTCCCCTCGGGCCCACCGCCACCGCCGCCGCCCAAAAGCGGCCAGCCAGCGGGACAAAACAAACAGCAGCAGCAGCAGCAACAACAACAGCAGCAGCAAAAGAATTTCGGGGGAATACGTTTTAATTTGAATTTGAACCAAAAGAGGTTGGCTGGTGCCCCCAATCCCCCTGCAACAGCAGCAACAACTTCAGCAGCAGCAGCAACTTCAGCAGCAGCAACACAACCAACAGCAGCAGCAACATCAGCAGGTCATGCAAATGTACAACAATAACAACACCAACAACAATAGCAACAAAAAGAAGCGCAAGCGCAACAACAAAAACAAAAATTTTGAGCAAACAGCATATAGCAATCCGTTTACCAATCAAGCCCAAGCCACGCCCATAGCACCGCCGCCGCCCATTATTAGCGCAAGCGATGTTGGCGTGCCAATTACACCGGACTTGAGTAAACCACCACCACCATTGCCATTGTCCGTCGTGGCACCCTTAGAGAATCCCCAAAAGCAACAGCAGCAGCAACATCAGCAGCAGCCCGCTCCTCCCGCTCCAAACCAATCGTCCACTTTTAAGCGGCCGAACAGCTTTCAAATGGCCTCCAACGACTCGTGGCCAGATGCCCTCAATCAGTATGTGGCCCGTTGCTACTCCAAGTGCAACACGGACCTCGACAAGGATCAAATAGACATATGCTTAAAGGGCAAGATTATAGCGGCGGCCAATCGAAACGAACTGTGGACTCGGGACTGGGACAACGAGCCCATGCCTACGGTGCACAGCGAACGGGACGGCATCGATGTGGTGCTGAGCAATGTGCCGCCACCACAGCCGCAGCGTAGCAACTACTTCCAGAAAAAGCTGGAGCAGGAGAAGGAGCGGGAGCGAGACCGCGAGCCAGAAAAAACGCCTGCCAAGTCCAACTCTGGTATTGTAAATCAGTTCAAGCAGAAGGTCAATCAGTTCAACAAGTCCTCTTCGAGCTACAACTCGCATCGCCACTCTTCGTCGTCCAAGTACTCCAGGAGTCGTTCGCGGTGAGTTTTGCGAGTGCCCTTCTTTCAATAACAAAAATTGAAAACCTGTTTTTTACCCTTTGCAGTTCTCCGTCTTCCTCAAACTCGTTGAAGTACTCGAGCAAGAAGCGGTACTCGCGGTCGCGTTCCCGTTCGCGTTCACGCTCGCGGTCCCCCCGCTCCCGATCGTGCTCCCGCAGCAGCGATGCCAGCAGTCCCCCGGCGCGTAAGGTTGTCCGCAAGTCGGACTCGAACGATTCGCTGAACTTTATACCGCTCAACGCGAACTTGTCTCGCAAGCAGCAGAAAATGCTGATGAAGAAGGGCAAGCGGGCAGCCGCAGCTGCAGCAGCGGCCGCCGCCTCCGGAGGCCAGGGAAAAAAGAAGCAACCCCATTTCTACTCTAACCAGTCGTCCGTTGGCGGAGCCGTTGATGATGACACAGCGCGCTTGCAACAGCGTGCGGCACGATTCTCCCAGCAGGGCTCAAGCTCGGCCAAGAAATCGGTCGTCGCCATTGCAAGCTCACCGTTTGGTCTCACCACGGCCAAGAATAAGAAGAAAATGATGCAGCAGCAGCAGCAGCACCATCGTTCTGCCTTCTACGAGGACACAGAGGCGTCTGGCGGCTTAGATCTTCTCGATTTGCATATTGTAGGCACTTGTAGGGACCTAGAGAAATCGTTTTTGCGTCTTACCAAGGCGCCGTCTCCGTCGGAAGTTCGACCTGTCGAGGTGCTAACCCACTCCCTGGTTAATGTGAAGGCGAAATGGCGTGCCAATCAGGATTACCACTACGCGTGTGATCAGCTGAAGTCCATTAGGCAGGATTTGACCGTAAGTGAGGCTCTCTACAGGTACAAATCAGTTGTAACATTGTTTTGATTCGTAGGTCCAGGGTATTCGCGATCAGTTTACCGTGGAGGTGTACGAGACTCACGCTCGCATCGCCATGGAGAAGGGAGACCACGAGGAGTTTAACCAATGCCAGACCCAACTGAAGATGCTGTACATGGAGATTGGCGGCAAGAGCGCCAATGCCTTGGAATTCACGGCCTATCGCATACTCTACTACATTTTCACAAAGAATACCTTGGGTAAATTCAATATTACCTTTAAAGCTATATATTAAAACTAACATTGATTTTGGCTTCCAGACATTACTACTGTTCTGCGTTCGATTACGGCTGATCAGCGCGAGAATCCTGCCATTGCGCACGCCCTTCAGTTCCGCTCCGCGTGGTCGCTGGGCAACTACTGCAAATTATTTTCCCTGTACAAAACGGCTCCTCTAATGTCTGGCCACATGATCGAGTGGTTCCTTGAGAGAGAGCGCAAGGCTGCTTTGCGAGTCATTATTAAATCGTGAGTTAAGCATTTAATTTGATTTCTTTATTTTACTTATAAATTGTATATTTGCAGTTATCGTCCTAACATTACCGTTGACTATATAACCAATATTCTGGCCTTTGAAAACTCAGAAAAATGCAAGGAATGGCTTGACACATTCAGTTTGCCCTATGCCGCCGATGGTGCGCAGGTCGATTGCAAAAACGCAGCTGCCATTTCGATTTGAGGGGACCTCCACAAAGAGCAGATTACCTGCTGCAAAACACTATTCGATTTTGTACCTGATTTCCGACTTTGTCGGATATTAGTGTCCTCTGTCAGCCTGCGGATGCGGTTCTCCTGATCCTTTTTAGTTTGTTTTAGTTGTACATACTTTGTATAGATCGCGTTTTCCCTTCGTTACACAGTTAGGTCGTGTTTTCTCTTATTCTCTGTGAATTCGTCGGTTCTTTAGGACCCCAAAAGTCAACTCTTCCTGTTCTTCGTAGGGATAAAATTGTATGCCTGGGAATGAGTTCATCTGCAGCAAAAACACAGGAACATCAGAAAACATACTCTACATCAACTCTATTAATAATACGGCGATATGAGGAAACCCGCCTGGTAAAGGAAGGCACCGGATTAGCTGAACTACTTCATTACTTAACTAGGACCTCACCACTAGTAGGAATTTAAAAGGATTAAATGATTTTGGATTGCGCAAGGATTCAACAACGCATGCCGTATATTTACACTCGAGATTCCAACGCCGAATTGCAACGTAATGGATTCATCTACGGAAAATGTATTTAGCTTTGCCTCACAAAGCGGCTTTTCGGGAGAGTTTTTCAATTCATCATCTCAAATGTTCGTCTTTTCAACGTTGGTCGTCATTACCTCTTCTTAAATTCTGCGATTTGTATATAAGCCTGCAACATCCACAAGTCAGAACTCACGGATTACCTGCAACGTCCTTCGAATTCAACAAAAATCTAAACTAACACATGTGCGTGACCCCCAATGAACTAAAGTGACTCAAAACCCAAAGTGAATCGATTGCAGATGTGTCACAACCTTTTTTTAAATAACAAATCCACTAAATTTCAACACTCGCAAAACTAACATGAAATAATACACAGGCAGACAAACAAAAACTGATGCGATCACCGAACTCCCCGAGCTGCGTGCTGATTATTTTTGTTTTGTTGTGATTATTTTACTCATTTTAATGCCTCTGATCACTTCATTTTTAAACTAGTTCTAAGATTTAGGCTTAATGTTTGTTGTCTTATTTAAATTATTGAAAAGGATTATACTAATGTTCTGTCTCTCTATTGTATACCTGTATATATACAACCATCAAATCCACCACCACAACCAAGAACTTCGGCGAGAACGAGTACGCAAATAAATACTTCTGGAGCTCAAAGTTGGAATATGCCGAAATCAACCTGGTCTTCCCGTCGCCACTTCTTCAACCATCAAGAGGAAGTCAAAAAGTCAACAAAAATTCGCGACATTTGTAAGCTCTTCCAATTTTAATTCGTCTTACTAAAGCAAATTGTACACAAATTTGGGGTAGCACATAAGAAATTGGCTAAGATCATATGATAAGTGGTGTTTTTTTTTTTTTAAATAGAGGGAGTTTGACAAGAAATCTAACTCTTTTATATAAATCCTTAATTATACAATATGTTAGGACTGTAGGTATCTTCTTAGACTAAGATTAACTGTTATATTTATTTTTAATTTTCTTGAATGTTGGAAAAATGATGGAAAAGAATTCAAGACTTTAATTGCATCCTCAAATACTTATGCAATTTATGGGAGCCAATTTGCATGGAAAGTGAGAGTTATAATCCCGCTTAAAAAAAAAATAAACAAATCAAAGCAAAACAAAAGCAACTGGTGTTTTCCTTCTGGGGAGTTTTCCCTTTCAGCAGAAGGTCGTCGTTTCAACAATCCCCTTCCAGTTGTCAATTAATTCGGAAGCTTTAGCCAGGACACGCGCCTTTGGAGCTTGTTGGCGCGTGGGAGCCAAGCTTTTCAACAACACTCAGAGGATGCTGCCGGAGGTTCAGCCGCTATTTAAGGATGCTGCGTTGCGGCCTTAACTTCAGTCAACGCGCGGCGTTCGAGTTCTTTGGATCGCGCCTAAAACTTAAATAGAAAGGACCAAACGGGGATAATCAAAATAAGCTAGAAATCCAAAGAGTCCTAAAACCCTTTTGTGAGTGAAGTGGCCCATCGAAAGTAGATGAAAATATTGTTATTAGTTAACTTTATTAAAGTGTGTGAAAAACTATAGTTAATGGTTACAATTGATGATTAATTTAATAAATATTGGAAACTGATCTTTTGGAGGTAAAGAATCTAAAAGATTTTACAGGTTTTAGATAAAGTTTGCATACTTTTTAAAATAAATGGGCATATTCGAATTCGTCAAGTTTTTATAACCAAATTACACGTTTCAATCAATATCTCAGGAAAAAACATTTTTTTACAATTTCCCTACTTTTTTAATCCAAGGATTTGTCACAAAAAATTTTAATTAGTGATATCTTACAAAAAAATTCTAATTTAATTTTTAGAGAACTGGCTTAAATCAGAAAAATGTGCATAAGATCTTTAAGTTTTGGTTTGCTAATTTAGCTTTAGGAGAAAGATTTTTGTGAGAAGCGAAATTAATAAAAAAGTTTTTAAACGTAAATTTAAAAACAAGATAACGTGTACGCTGAAAAATTACTCATACGACACGTTGGCAACTTGAAACAAAGTTAACAGTTTGTTAAACATATATCTACATGCGGAAGAAGAACTGAATTTTTAATAACTATCTGTTTTCTGAAAAGTGTGGTTAAAATGTGATTTCATTGATTAAAATTTAGGTTTTGTCACATCTATGTAAAGGTAGGAAAATTTTGGTGAACGGCAGACAAGAAAACTTAATGACTTATTCAACAATTAATGAAAATCGCTTTATTGTGAACACAGTGTCAACCGAGAATTGATTGACCAATTGCTGAACCACAATAATCAGTCATGCCTGAGGATAAAGCCTCTCTAATTCCCGCAGTCATTTAATTAATGTCACCAAGATTTGAAAACGAAGTTAACTTTCAATTAAATAAATGACTTAAGTACGGGAAAAATGCAAAAAAGAGCAAGTGTGTTTACCCAAAATTGAATATAATTAAAGGAAATTAATCTTTCATAAATACCCCCAGAGGCCAAAAAGACTTGAAACGGAAGTCGGAAACTCGATGCGCCATTAAGTAATTAAGGTTGTCAAAGATAGGAATATTAACTCTTTAGCAGGCAATCTGCAAAATAGGTTCATAACAAAATTCCCAACATAAATTGAAAAACAATTAGCAGTAAAAAATAACATCAAATTGAGTGCCACGCAAACTTTTCAGGGAAGGCAGAAGGCCAACTTCCTTTGGCGTTGTCGCAGCAGCCGATGTCAAACGGCTGACAAGGTTCGTCTTTCCTGTCCCATCCACGCTCCGCCAGTTTTCCCCATTTCGTTATTAAGAAAATTATAATATCGCTGATGTTCGGCAGGCCATTGTGTACTGCATAGCTGCATAGGCGTTTCCATTGAAAGTCAGCGAAACGAATAATCCCAAAATGAAAAAACTACGGAAGGCGCAATATTAACTAATGTCGAGTTTTGTTTGCCAGGTAAAAAGCATTCCTTTGATGACTAAATTTAATATTCAGCTACTTTCACTTGTCTCATGCATGCTTAAGTCAATTTCCGAACAACAAGCCTTTTATTTGAACGCTGTACTTTCCTCACTCCACGCTAAAATGAAACGCATTAAAATATATTCTGCCGTGTTCGGCATCTTTTCAAACAACAACAAATAAATATCCAATATTGACTATCAATATGCGAACCGCAGCTGAGGCTGACATTACAAAGGCTGACAGGAGTATAAATTTTGCAACATTATGTGTGAATATTTCATACACTGGCACACTTGCCAAGCTGCTTAAGGATGTGGGCATCCTTGGTTCCGTACCGTTCCGTGGCAATCCTTTTCAACGGCATAAAATCCTTCGCAGGACTATCCCTTTCATATGTAAATCCCGAGCCGGTTAGTCAGCATTTGAGGGGAATAAAACTTGTTTACCTTTTCTGAGAAAGACCAGGGGACGGCCAAAGGATTTTCTTCACTTTACGGCTATCTTCAAAAATGATGTGTTATTTACTGAGCGGCCTTTCATTTCATAAGTGAAACATGCTTTCTGCTGCTCAGCTGACTTTGGGATATTTTACAATTTGTATTAGCATAAAATAAATTTTGACCAACAAGGGCGGCTTATTTCGGGTTCATATCAATTTATAGGTGCTCAGCCGGTGAGGAATATTTAACCTGAGTGATCGAATCGGAAAATGAATGTTAACATGACAAGCTAAGCGCAGAAGGTGCCTTATAAATTTATTCATGAGGGAATAACTACGATGTTTAATAAAAAAGTTCTAAGAACAAAAGCGAACCATTTAAAATTTTTTAATCCAGTAAAAGTGGATTGTGAAAAGTTGAGTGCCGCCAAAAAGAAAAGTTTAATTCAAGATATACTTAGTTTTTCCATTCAAATAAAAACAATGTTTTGGCGGTCTAATTATCCTTGGATATAATTAGCATTTAAAATGCAACACCATATTTGAAATGGCCCTATTGTTATACAAATTACTGGTACTTAGGTTAAGTTTACTGGCAATTTGGGTAAATAATCTAATTATTTCTCTCGCGTTTACGTTATTGTTCAGAGCCTTCTAAGTGTCTCCCGAATTTCCTCCCAATTCCCACTCTAATTCTGGTCATGATTCGCACTTGACCACAACTCTAGGCCTTGGCTAAAACCTCCTTAGCACCTGTGTGTGTGTGTGTGTGTATGTGTGGGTGGGAAACCACATCCGTATTGTCCTGGCCATGTTGTGTCTCCCATTTAAATGGTTTTTCTTAACAGATTTGCTGGTTTTCAGTTTTCTTTTTTTCCTCGTGTCTCCGTTTTTTACTGTTTTGCATTGTGCTTGGCAGCACTTGTTTTTTCGTTTTTCCCACAGTTTGCTTTTGTTACCCAATTGTACGATTTCCTTGGGTTTTCATTCCTTCACGCGGCTTTGTTGTCATTTGAGATAATACGAAAAGCATTCAGCGCCCATCGTCGTTACGGTTTTGCTTTTGATTTTGTTCAAGGGTTTATTTTAAAGCAATTGATTGGATTTAAAACGATGCGGCGGAGTGTTCGAGGAGTTGAGGTGTCGAGAGCGAAGGAAATCTGAGATTTTATTTTTTGCTGCCGGCGAAATCTGATTGAATTGCGCCTCTATTCAAGGATCTTTTGCATAAAGTCTCCTCCGGGCAAAATGGGAATTTCGATGGTGTGACCTCTTATGACTTCCCCCTTTTTTGTGCATAATAAATATTTTGTTCCATATATTCAGGTGTATTAATAAGTTTGACTAGTAGGTTTTCCAACAGGAGTGTTTCCACATTGTATTTAAAAGTTATACAAACAAGTGAGCCCACAAAGTCCTCTAAAAAATTGGTTATGCATTTAATTTGAAATAATAAAAAAAATTATGTGAAAAAAAATCTTTAACAAAAAACTAATTTGAATTTCGAGGTAAATGTGAAAAAAGCAATAATATAAAAATTTGTTTATTATACAAAAATTCATGTGGAATGAAAACAAATAAACTGACGACTGTTCAACACAGCGTATGAGTAATAAAAAACCTCTACGTTGTAAATAAATTTTGAATTAAATAATCAAGCAGAGAATTAAAAGTCACAGATTGGGATTTTTTCCAACTTATTTTTTATAAATTTCATAGGTAAACAAATACAGAAATTTGAAGTCAGAAAAGAGAGATTTCATTCCTAACTATTTTCTATACATTTACAAATGAGGATTCACTTCTTGTTAAAACCTATCAACTTTTAATTATTGTTTAATACCACTTTAATACCACTCAGCTCATTAGGTTTCAAATCAACAGAGACTGAGGAACAACAAATCCGAGAAACTATAACTCAAGGCTCTGTCTCCAGCTCTCCAGAGAATTTCCAACAGTTTTATCTGCCTCTGGGCTGATTAAGCAGGGAACGAGGAAAAGCGAGCGGAAATGAAAAAACAGAGTCGAGGTTTTCCTGGCAGAGCGAACATTTGTAGCAATTAAAAGCATCTTTATGGCAATTTGCCTCTGCTCCAGCCACAAAACCAGAAGCCTCCACGCGACGCTTCATAATAAATTTGCTTAATCAAAAAGTGACGAAGTCCCTGCCGCTCTATGAAAATTCAATTAGTTTACCTTTAATTTGGTAGGTGAACCGGGGCCAGGGCTTTTCATACACTCCGCTTAACCGAGGTGAAGGGGCATCTGATTAGAGCTGGAAAAGTTGCAGACAACATCTGTCGAACGCTTTCGCTTTCGTTTGTGCCTCGCAAGTCGGCTTTCGGAAAGGGTTTAATCATTCATTCTGGAGCCAATTTTCACGCTGTTTTTTTTTTTGGTGCCAGATGCTACTTCCTTATTCTTTCTTCTGAAAAGCATTTCCATTCGCGGCTCGTTCATTTGTTAGGCAACTGCTGCCTGGCCTCTAACCGCTTGAAAAAATGTGCAAATTTTAAAGATGCCGCATCAGTTGAGCAACTCATAAAGCAAAGTTCAGCAAAAAATGCAAATGCTTACAATTTTTTTTATTTTATTTAGGAATATTTAATTAGAACCCGTTTAGAAGCTGCATATTTCTCTAATTTACAAAGAGTATTAAAGAATGCTGAAATGGGTAAATTTAAAGTTAAATCCAAAAAGTTTCCTTAAAATTCCAAAATAAATAAACCCCTATTTATATAATTTAAATTGAATTTCAAGCAAATTCCTGTGACAATTATCTTTTGGAGCATCGGCAGAGGACAGATTCTTTTGTTTTAACATGCTGTTTATTAGGTCCTCTTCCGAACAAATTCCGAAGCTGAAAGGCAGCTGACATCGATTTGGCTCCGTTCGGAGCTGCAATTGACATGGGAGCATTCACATTACTGACCTGGTCCAAAACCCATCCCATTCGAGTTCATTGAGCACCCACGCACATTAAAATTCGAAATCAAATGCCGAATCATTCGCTTTGATGGCATCCCACACTCAGTCACACAGAATGTCCAATGAAATGCCATCGCTTTCTAATTACTCGTTCATTGTTTGTTTGCTCTTGTTTTCCCTGTTTGTTTAATGGCGGCTTTGGAAAATTGCTTAGGCAAATCAAAATAATGACCGCAAATTTCGGTTTGTTTTTATTTCATTGCGTGTTATTTTTCCTTGGTGGAATGTACATACGTGCTCTTTCGCCTTTTTGCTTTGCTAATCAATCAATCAATTAGCTGCCCGGCTGGCTTTGAGTGCATAAGTCTATTTTTGTTGCTAAAAGCCAGCCTTTGTCCTTTTATTGTTTGCTTTCTGTTGCTCTCAGGCATTTTGAGTGGAAGTGAAGCAGCAAAAGAGCAGCACATCAAGACGATGTCTGATGATGCTCAATGGAAGGGCCTTAAGCCAAAGGTAAACCCAAGAGCTTCGTCTGTGGGAATCCACAATATAAGCAAATAACAGCAAATAGTAAAAAACATGCATTTTCATTATTCGTTTTAAATTTGGGTAAATTTAAACACTATATTAAAGCTTAACATTTCATTTAGTTGCATTTCAAAGAGGTATAAATATAAAAATATATATAAATTGTAATAGGATGGACCAAATTTAACTAACGTTCTAATATTATTACCAATAATGTTTTATTTAAAATTTTCCACGAGGGATTAATTTCTTTTTTTTCAACATCATGCGAAATTTCTTGAGAAAGTAACTCAGTTTTATTAGATTTAAAAAAAAAAAAATATAATACAAATCAAAAGAAAGGCAACAGTTATAAGAAATTTAATTGAATGTGTCAAATTTTCCCGATTTAAAGCAGTTATTGCACTTTTTAAGTTTCTCCATCCGTCTTGACTACAGCAAGTAAAATAACTTTCTGAAAACTTTTTAATCCTCAGTGAACCAATTGAGTGTAGCCCGAAAAAGAGAGCCGCAGAAAGTTGTTCAACAGAATTTAATCAAAAACTTGGAGGGCAGATTGTCCAAGTGGTTCACCTGTTGGCTGCATTTTAAATCAACGAGGCAAGCAATCAGCGGCGAGGACCAGGAGCCAAGGGTCCCCGGACAAGATGTCGCAGCACTTCACATCTATATTTGAGAACCTGCGTTTCGTGACCATCAAACGTACGACGAATGCACAGCAGCAGCAGCAGCAACAACAACAACAGCAATTGCAACAACAACAACAGCAATTGCAACTGCAACAGCAACAACAGCAATTGCAACAGAAAACTACATGTGCCATACAGCAACAAAATAGTAGAAAAATCAAAGCTCAAACAACGCCAACGGTGAATGGCAATGGGCTCTTGAGCGGCAATCCTGAAGGCGGTGGCGACTCCTCGCCGAGTCACGAAGTGAACCAAGCTGGTGGAGCGGTGGCAGGAGCAGCAGGATCGGCCGGAGGAGCGGCATCCTCGAGTGGCACGCCGTTGAGGCATCCCAAACGAGCCAGCATCTCGCAGGCGTCGCCTCCAATTCGCGAACGCCGTGGCACGAACACAAGTATCGTCGTCGAACTCGATGGAAGTGGAAGTGGCAGTGGCAGCGGGAGTGCAGGTGGCGGTGGACAGGCGGCGGCGGGTTGTCCTGCCTCGGGAAGTGGCACGGCGTCGGGGAAAAGTTCGCGAGAACTTTCCCCATCGCCCAAAAACCAACAGCAGCCCAGAAAAATGTCACAGGATTATCGGTCGCGTGCCGGCAGGTAAGGATTGTATTTATCACGGATATGGGAGATATATATGGGAGTATGTAAGTGCTAGCCAGGCTGATAAATTGCCGGGGGAGTTAGGGGGTAATGGCAGGGCTTAACTCAGATGTACTTGTGCTCAGGAACTAGACAACTTGTTTTGTGGCAAATAGCATCTGTTGGAAGAGAGAGTAACATAACTTAACCCGTTCTTCTCTACTCAAGAGCAGTTGTCTTAAATAAATCTAGGAGTACCTTGTAAAAATCTTTTAAAAGGGTTTTTTTATTTATTTGTTATATATTCTTTATTGAATTTAAAATCCTGTTTTTGGGTAATCCTTAGGAAATAATTCCATTTTTGAATTTGTCTTAACATAGTTATTATATTTTGTTTACATTTAAATATGTAAATCCCATATTACAAATTATTTTTATTTTTTTTTAATGACTTTTTAATACAAATACAACAACTCTTTATATGTATATTTTAATTTCATTTTAAAAATTGATTATTTAATCTTTATAATTGCTGGGTTTTTTGGCATCTGCATTTCCAGTAATAAGTAGCTTGCTTATCAATAAAATTAAATATGTTGTAATTTATCTGCGCCTTTAAATGTGCAAAAAAGAATCGACAAATATTAGAGTAAGTCAGGCTCTCTTAATTAAACATTATGACATAGGGAAATGTAAATATCTTTCTTTTTGTACTTTATACACTTTTATTGTAACTTTTTCTTAAATTGAATCGAGAAATAAAAGACAGGATTTCCCGAGGGTTAAACAAATCGAGCGAATAATGTGCGCAGCTTAGAGCTCAAAGGGCGTTAAGATTCGCTAGATTAGCCCGTACTTTAGCCACTCCCAGCACTTTCCCGCCCACTTTAGCCAACTGAAAATCTGTCTGAATTGCAGCTTTATGCACCTGGACGACGAGGGCCGCAGCCTGCTGATGCGGAAGCCAATGCGGCTGAAGAACATCGAGGGACGGCCGGAAGTGTACGACACGCTGCATTGCAAGGGTCGCGAGGTGAGTCACGTTTTGTGGGATAAACAGGGAAAATCTCGGGGAGGGGAAGGGAAGGGAAAGTCTTGGCCGTAATTAGCCATTGCACGTGGCCAAGATAAGAGAGTGTGGGCCATGCACGAGCCAGTGTGCCATAAAAGGGCAGTAAAACAATTCCCGGACTGCCAGGCCAAAGTGCACAAAGTTTTCCAGCCCGGGAATGCGTAAAACGTAAAAAGTGAGTTGGCCAACGAGCGCAAGAAACATTGCATACTTGCAGGAGTTATTTAATACTCATGACGCTGTTAGCCGTCCATGTAATTGTTTGTGTGACTGCTTCTTCTTCTTTCTCCGTTCCTCTGTTCCTGTTCCCCTGTTCCTGTTCCTCTGTTCCTCTTTCCCTGTTTGTGGTGGGTGTATGTGTGCCGCCTGCATGTGTACATGTGTGACTCCTGTCGCTTTGTTTGTTTGTGTGTTCCTCTGCAATTGGAGCGTTTTACAGCAGTTTTGTTATGCAAAAGTTGGACGGGTGCGTGCGGATTAAATAAAGGACCCGGCTGCTTTCTCTTTTTTAGCCTCGTACCACAAAACTTTTTCTATCGTAATAAAGTGGCCTGAAGTTGGCTCATTTTTCGGGGACTTTTTTCCTTTGCCTAGTGTAAAACTATATTTTTTTGGGTAATGTTCTGCTTTTTTGCGGAAATTGTTGAGCTATTACGTGCGACAAAATTTAGTGGCAGAAGTTGCTGTTGGAGTTTTGGATAATTAATGATGCTGTCAACAGAGGATATATTGCTGAATAGATACGAACTTATGCTGAACTTTATCAGATATTTTTGTACACATTTTTGGTAGCCAACATTTGTTTAAAGCTCATTTTATATTATAATATTAAAAACAAAACAATAACTAGTGGGTTTTCCATGTTACGCTTTTGTTTTAAATATGTTATGGTTTTATGTTAAATATGTTATGGTTTGAGCATTTAATGATACAGACAATAGAGTATTTATTGAGAAAAAAAAATTATTTCAATTAAATATTTCAATTGCACATTTTGGTAATGAAATGGCTGTCGAATTTTAAGTTTTCTTTTAATTTAGGTATAAAACATATTATTTTCTGGTTATTTATTGTTTTCTCAATGTAAGCTAATAATTCGGTTATTGAACAGTGGTAGCGTTTTGCTTATTATTTGACTTCAACTGAAATTATCTGTCAGCACTCATCGCTCATTAAGCAAATGTCTTTGGATGTCTTCAAGCGGTTGTGCCGCTAGAATCTGCATAATTTAATTTGCACATCTACCGGTGCTGTCGGGGAAGTTTAGTTGGCCAAAACTGATTCAGCAAGTGCTTCGTAGTGGTTCGAACCTCATTAAGCCGACGCGGGAGTGGCAAGTGCGAGTTTCTAATTGCGCAAGCGAAGTGGCAAGTCAGAAGTCGCCTTAAAGTTGCGACACCTAACCCCAATTAGCCCTGAACCCCCGAAAAGTCCATTCTGGCATTCTGGCAGTTGCAACTACGCTTTCTATGCTAATTAAGTCGGCATCAACGCCAACAGCGGAAATGGCGCAGCGAATCCTTTTTCACAATCAAATTTCATTTCCCCCTTTTTGCCGCCCTCTCATCCAGATGCATTTTAATGTGCGCGAAATTATGCAATGCAAAAATTGATATGAGCCAGTATGCCATTTGGCTCGAGCTCTCTTGCAACAACATGCAAATTGCTCCCAACAATGACTGCTTCCATTTTCCGACTCTCAGGTAATTATAACGAAGCGTTGCTTAAACGATGGACTGCCAATTAAAGTTGCACGCATTAAGTTTACATCAAGGGCATTTAACACTCGGGATTTTAGTGGATAAAGTATGTGGAAAGGGTCTTCATCCTCGAGAGTTAATAAAAGTTTACCACCATAAAAGTTGTTGGTTATGCTCCTTGAAGGGATTCTGGTTAATCCTCTTTCCTACGATGGCTTCACCTTATTGTGGCTAGAAAACCCGGGATAACTTTACTATTTACCCAGCTCTGTTAATATCATGCACTTGTCTACCGGAAACTATGAGCAAATATTTGTCTTGCATTTTTCATTACCACATCCAGCATTTTCATTTAATTTGTGTGCCAGCTGCCTGCAGTTTCAATTTCGTTGCCGAAAAGGTGAGGCGAAAGTGGCAAAACAAACTTAACTGCCTCGGAATGCAGTTAATATTTGAATTCCTCCAAGAGGCTGCGCCTCTTCTTTTCTCCGGATGAAAACAGGCGCCTTGGGAAACTTATGCCCGGAAAACCAATTGGCCGGAAAATGTTTCCTTAAGTTGCTTTGGCAAAAGCACGTGTCATATTACCAATAACTTTTTTTATTGGTTGCCTATTAAGAATTTTTTCGTTGACATATAAGAATCTGTGATCCCTATAAAAAACGTTTATTAAATAAATATTTTTAAACACATCTTTTATTCAAATATTTAATACAGTTTTTATCCATGTTTAAATAACTGCAATTGCATAAAAAGGGATTTATTGAAATGGATTTTTGAAACTCTTTTATATTATTATTTGATTTTTGAATGAATGTATTGTTGCATTTCCAGTTCGTTGTTGTCTGTGAAAACCTTTCCCTCGGCGAAACCGGCAGCACTTCTTTCACTTTCCTCCGCCGAAGGGCACAATTCCGCTGCAAACACTGTGAAAAGTGGAAAAAAGAGCAAATTTGGCGGCAAAGTCCGCCGAGGGGAAAGTGCAGCTGCTCGGGGAATGCAACCCGCTGAAGTTTGGAGGCACGTGGCCCGAGGAAAACCAAACTTACACGAAAAACTTTAAGCTCCTCGCCTTTCAAACTATATGAGTATGTGTGTGTGTGTGTGTGGATGGGCGAGAAAGCCTCCCCATTTCCTTCGTATTTATTCGGCAGCTGCAACAATTTCCGGTTCCGCTGCAAATGCTCCTCCTTCCCTCTGTTTTTATTTACATAAAACAATTTTGGACAACTTTGAGTGCTAACCAGTTTCGCGCTGGCAATTATTTGCATTTCTTCCCAGGCTGCAAAAAACTCATTTGCTCCGCTGCAAATGAAAGTGGAAATGCCGGCAGAAAATAATAATTTAGCCACTAAGCTCAACGCATGCCGCGTCTGATTCCAGCTTATTAGAATAATAACTTCTTCTCGTCGTCGTCGTCGTTGCCAACTAACTAATTTTCGTCATGTGTCGCTCGTGTTTTTGGCCTGTTTTGTTTTTGGTTCCTTGGCTCTGTGGCTCGGTGTTTGCATTGTGCATAAATTTGTCTTGTGCAGCTGAGTGAAAATTGGGAAAGTTTATGCGGGCGGGGAGGCCGAGGAAAAGCTCGGGGAAAATGCGTTTCTGTTATGTGCATACAAAGCAAAGTATGTGGCTTGGCTTTAAGTTCCAACTGCAGTTTATTGTGGCTGATGCGGTCTGAAAGTGGTGAGAGCTTAAATTAATGTGACTTTCCGGTAGTCGCTGCTCAACTTTGAAGTGAACCTGTGGGCCCTTTTACAAACTAATCGTTTGAATTCCCCTCCGCAGCTTTTGGTTAAATGTGATACTTTGACTGCTATTGCTTCTCTAACTTTTACTGCCCTTACCACTTTTATTGGCATTTACCACTTTTATTGCCTCAGCGAATGGCTTCACCTCTTGAAATTTCAAAGGTATTTTAACAACTACCTGATTTTGAACTCACTGTGATTTGCACAAAGCTTATTAAAGAAATTTAAATTTTTAAATAGTTTTTGCATTTGCTTATTCACAAACGGTATTTTAAAATTAAATTCTACATTTTAGATTTTATTTTTAAATATATAAATATGATATCAAAGGAAATGAAAAAGTTTTTTGATTCAAAAACAAATATCCTAGGCTTCTTAATTTAAACTCAATTTTGTAAATGATATTTATAAGTGAACCAGGCAACAATAAATTCACAAACCTTAGAGTAAATAAAATATAGATATTCTTGTGATTCAATAAACCAAGTATTCCACACGTTACTTCAATTAACTTTCCTTCATAATTGACTTTTCAACAAGGAATTACCCACTTACACACTTAATCCGCTTAGTTTATTCCTTCCCATCTGAAAATGTAATACCCTGATTCGCCCGTTTACTTCAACAGTTAATTTATGCCTTCTCCATTCTTAGCCAGTAAACTCGCTCGTTAGATTTTTAACAAGCTCCCCTTGGCGCGTTACACAGTGCGTATGAGTGACATAATTGTAGCGAGCACCGCCGCATGAAATTTTTTAGTTAGACACTTGCGACACTTGAGCAGTTTTTACGCCACACTTTGCCAAGCCAATTCGAGAGCTCAACTGCCTGGAAAAACAAACTAATTATGACCGCGGGTGTCTTGGGCGGATTGTGGTCTTTGCCGGAGAAATATTGGCGGGGCGTTGAGTAAATTAAACCGTCGGGAAAATAAACTGAGAAGAAAGGTAAGGAAAGCGCTCTCAAGGCAGGGATTCGACGGTGAGTTGAGGCAGTGCAAATAAAAATTACAACGACACGCACCATAAAAAACAAACCTTAAGTCGGGGAAAAGCGCGCACAGGAAAAGCCGGGGAGGAAAAGCAGCATCCGCAATTGACAGTGAAATGCTTTTTAAACGCTTTTTTCTGCACAGGATCCTGATTTCAGGGCAGAGTCATTCTGCAAAGGACTTTTGCTTTTCCTCATTTTTTTTATCAATTTAATTTTCGTGGCATTGTTGCTGTTCTATCTGTCCCTCATCTTTGCTAACTTTTTTTTCTCTTTTTTTCAACTGCCATTCATTCGCTGCAAGGCAATTGCCAATAAAAATTTAATTACCAAAATGAGCAATTACATTTCTGTAATTAAAGCTCTCTAAATTTGGGGACAAACTGTTTTTGTTATGACTTGATGACTTATTACCCCCGATTTGTCTTCTAGATACTTTCCTGCTCGAAGGCCACCTGTACGAGTAGCATTATGAACATTGGAAACGCGGCGGTGGAGGCTCGAAAACCGGATTTAATCATGGAACACGCCAAGGATTTTCTCGAGCAGTATTTCACTTCGATAAAGCGGTAAGTTATCAGAAATAAGTTAATTAATTTACATTTTTGTCTAAGTTCCTTACTTATTTTTAAATATTTATAATTTTTTTATATTAAAAAAATTTTTAAATTATAATTCAGTTCGAGAATATTAACAAGTATTTCTACTCAATGGCTTGATTATCTTTTCTTCCTTTAACTTTATTTTATTGTATAACTAGTAATGCTAAACTCTTAGAGATATTAATTTTTTCTTAGTGATACGATTTTTTTTAATTTTGAAATTCACACATTTACACATTCCGATTGAATCTTATATGTATCCTAAACTTCTTTTTAACATATAATACATTATATTTTTATATATATTATTTATTGTTATTTGGGTATTCTCTAAATATATATAACTACAATTTAAATATTTGAGATTTTTATATATTTTATTTATTGTTATTTGGGTATTCTCTATATATATGTACAATTTAAATATTTTAAATTCAAAAGTTCTTAACCAAACGTATCTTATCTACTATCTTAAATTTAGAACATCATCCACCGCCCACGAAACGCGGTGGAAACAGGTGCGGCAGAGCATCGAGACCAGTGGACATTATCAGCTAACTGAAACCGAGCTAATTTATGGCGCCAAATTGGCCTGGCGAAATTCATCACGTTGCATTGGCCGCATACAATGGTCCAAGTTGCAGGTGGGTAAAAAGAAATTGATTTATGTTAAAGTTCTCGGAACAAAGAAAAATACTATAGCCAATTTAATACGAAAAGTGTACTGAACTTTTGTTAGCCAAACTAGGACACCCTCGATTAATCAGGATCTCAGCGATTCATGACCCCTCGCATGCAAAATCACAAAATCAACTTTCATCATCCACAAAATATGATAACAATTCGTCAAGCATATTAGGCATAAATGTATGCAATTCAAAAAATTATATGGGTGAAATCAACGCTGGCGAAGTCGGCCAAATTTGTCAGAGCACAAATCACAGGCAGATATATGTGCCTCTGTCTGGGCCACATTATTCTAGATTTATGCGTGTTCCGAGCAAATGACAAATTTCGAAGATGGAAGGCAGATTCAAAAAGAGAATAGACAAATACAAAGCTGAAATTTGAAATGCAAATCCTCGTAAATTTTAATTTACCCGAAAAAGAAATTCCTCCCCCAGGCGGAGATTTATTCACATGCATCCATATACTCCTATATATACATATATATTTATATATATACTGGTATACAAATTATAATGATCAGTAGTTGGCATAGCAAAATGGCTGTTTCTGCCTCTGTGTGTTTGCTTAGTAATGTGTGAACGGATTTGCATTTCCGCCTGAATGATTTGCGTGCGTGGAGCTGAAAACTCGAGAGGGAGAAGCTGATTTCCAAAGACAAGTAGTGAAAGGCGACACTGAAGTCACCTTCCTTATACGCAGTACCAAATAAGTTATACATCAACATATGCGAATGAGTTTTCAGGTGTCTGTCAGCTTCCTGAGTCTTGAAATATGATGAGAACCCCGTTTTTATTGCATATTTATGCATACACTTATGCTGAAACAGAACACAACTCTCTTTGTAAAAGTTGAGCATTCAATTCACTTAAAAAAATTGTATTTAATTCTCTCGAAACTTCAGTGCACCTCTCAGTTATTTATTATTTTCCCATTATGGCATAAACATTTTGGTAGATAATTTATTTTGTGCTCTGACTTTTTAGTTAATTACAAAAAAACAGTTAGCAAAAGTTATCCAATACCACTCAGACTTAATAAAAAAGTCGAGAACTTTGCCTTAAATTAGATAAAGTATGTGTGGCATAAGCACTTAAAAAGGGTTCAGTTTGGATTGCTTTGCAAACTTAATTAGGAAACTCGCTTCACATTGGTGCGCCCCCTTGAAAACACATAACAAAACCCAACACAGCAGAAAATCGAGTGAAAAGGGCTTTCCTTGCCCAGAAATGAATTTCAGTTTCGAGTGGCTTAAACACAGAAATCCCATAAAGCCAAACGTGAGGGGTTTGCCTTAACCTAGACCCAAAAAACAGTGAAAGCCACAAAAACAGGTGTGAAAAAAGACAATTGTAAGGGTCTAGATAGCAGAATCAAAAATTTAGGAGCGAGTATGACAGTTGAACAGAAATATTGCAAAAAATTCATTGAAGCGAAATAATTGAAAAAGGGTTTCGCCGTATGAACAAGCTGCGAACAACTCTCTCTTATGCGACCCCTCATGCCAGAAAAACAAAGCAAATATAGAAGTTACATAGAAATTTATGTCACATTTATCATCCGCCCCGTTGGACGCGCAACAAAAACGGTTGGACAGCTTTAGGGCTTCGGGGCTGGCACCTAAAACTCATGGAAAAACAATTGTTTACACTTCCACTTTTGTGTCTGCTAGTTCTGTGAATTTTTTTCTAGTTTCCTGCCAGCATTTGAATATTTTAGGTAATTTTTGCTCCACGGGAATCGCGCTTTTCCCCCGCTGGCATTTATTTTATACATGTTCTGCTGCAGTGAAATATGATTCATTCCCGTCAAGCTGGTATTTCTACAACTTATATGTTCAATTTTGCAGGTCTTTGACTGCCGGTATGTGACAACAACAAGTGGCATGTTTGAAGCCATTTGCAACCACATTAAATATGCAACAAATAAAGGCAACCTGAGGTAAGTGAATTTGTCTGCTAAGTGTTTGGTAAATAAATTATGAAGGCATTGTTTTCCTACATAAATTATTAAGTTATTGCACGATTTATGCTTTGTAAATTGTTATAGAAAAGTAGTATAGTTTTTACTTTAATTAAAGTTACAACGTATAATATTTCGTTTGTACAATTAACACTCGATTGCTGCAATGCAATTTCATATTTTCGATCGAAGCTAATTGCCAGCTTATGGTAATTAGAAAGAACAGACCAATTTTGGCTGCCTGCTAATCGTTTTAAGCCAGGAATTTGAGGCTGTACATAATTTTTACCATTTCCCTATGCTCTTTGGCATACACATTTTCAAATTTTCAAATAATCTACTCGCTGCGTGGCAGACGTCAGTTGAATGTTTGCGGAAAGTGATTGGCAAATTATGTTTTTGCCATGCTAATTGGCCGAATTCGAGAGGGTGAATGTGTGGAGAGCTGTTGCCAATTTGTTTCTATGAATATTTGAAGCGCCATCCCCTTTATTTCCCCAATCATATTTGGTTGGTGTTGCACTTTTGACTTTGTACGCACACTGGAAAGTTAAATGCTTATGGCGGTTGGCAAAAGTTTCGTTGAACTTTGTGCAACTTTAACGATTTGTGCACACACATTTTGGTTTGGTTTTGCTTTGATAGACAAATTGATTTTATATATTTTCATCACCGCAGATCGGCTATTACGATATTCCCTCAACGAACAGATGCCAAGCATGATTATCGAATTTGGAACAACCAATTAATTTCCTATGCCGGCTATAAGCAGGCGGATGGAAAAATCATTGGCGATCCGATGAACGTGGAGTTTACAGAGGTGAGTGATTATGCAATCAATGCTTAAGCCAGGAAACCCTTTTCATTTTAAGAGCAATCATTGAACTAAGCTCTGCATTTTCTAAATAAAACTTCGACATTCATCTTGACTTTTGTTTGCCTGTTTTCCTAAACAAATGACTATTTACACCACAACCAAACGGGCTTTGTTTGTTCACATTGCTTTGCGTAATCCAGCCATCAATTTACATATCATACATGCATTGATATATGTCTTTTTTCCCAGCCATCACAATATTTACACGCATCAATTGCTTTTGCCTTTAAATCCGTCACCCCGGCCCTTCTGACCCGACCAATTCCCTGGCCATAAATGCGACCTTTTGTCGAGCCAACAAGTTGGAAAAGCCCCAGAGCCCACAATCGCAAACGGTGGCAAGTTCCCTCTATAACTCGTTGTAATAAATCTCTTTTTAAATACGCAAAAACCGAACAAACAACAAAGCTGTCAATAAATACGAGCACAAATACGGTAGCAGATGTTGCCATCGAGTGGGTGGAAAACATGTGGCTGAATATTGGGTTCAGTTTGGTTTCGTTCGGTTTCGTTTGGTTCGGTTTGGTAACTTCCCACTCTTGGGTGATATATTTGCATATAAAACCGAGCCCCAAAGTATCTCCATTTATTTTTACACATGTCACTTTTATGTCCACTGCCAGTGCCTGCTGGCCAAGCCCTCCGCTGCTGATTTTCGATTGCGAATCGCATTTGCCTGACGTCCAATTCCATCTCCATCCATCAGGTCTGCACCAAGCTGGGCTGGAAGGGCAAGTGCAGCGAGTGGGACATCCTGCCACTGGTCGTCTCGGCCAACGGCCACGATCCGGACTACTTTGATTACCCGCCGGAATTGATACTGGAAGTGCCCCTCACGCATCCCAAGTAAGTATAACCACAGGCTTTATACTCCGTTTGGTTGTTTTTTCCAACAGAAATATATGGGTTTATTGAGGAACTAAAATTGAGCTACATTGTTTTTACAGGCAAATCATTTTTATCGGAAGGGGTTTCACATTATTATATTGTACACCACAAATATGCCTACTGTTTTATTAATTTAAATACCAATAAGATGCATACAATTTACTAAAGAAATGATTTAGTTTTTTTCATATAATAATCAAAATCATAAATAGGATTTTACAATGTAGTAAAGTGTGTTTACCTATTTAGGAAAAATTATTAGTCTTCTTCAGGATTTTTAAAATAATAATGTTTCAAGAAGCAAATATAAATTACTGTTTTTATTAATTGATTAACATTTTGTAATCTTTATTTTTATCTAAATAAATAAAAGTCAAACATGTATGAGCCTTGAAAATCTTTTTATTACCATATTTTCACTAGTTTAAATGTTCTAAAATCTTGTCTATTTTTTTGTTATGGCATTTGGTGTTTGTCATGGTTTTTTGGTATCCAAATAAATGTTCCTCTTGAAATAATAAATCCATTCAAAATTAAACCACGTAGTCAGCGACTCGGGCAAAACCAATCCTCGAGTTGCCCTTGTCGAACTCAGTGTAAAACTTTCCGATGAAGACATCACCCAGAATCCAGAAGGAAACATCCGACATTGTGGTGAATGCGGACATGCAGTAGGTTGTGCCACCCTGGGTGATCTTGACTATATAATCCCGGGGTGCCAGAGTGAAGATAGTGCCACCGATATTGAGGTTAACCTTGGGCAGAGTTGGGATTCTTCCGCATCTCACGAAGGCCTCTCCACCATTATCCTCTGCTCCCAACTGGCGATTGATTTTGGTGTAGGCCGCCTGGGGAACCACAATCAAGGAGGTTCCGGTATCAGCGATTGCCTGACAACCATTGCACAGCACAATGCCATTGGTTTTGATGGTGTTCACCTTGAATTGCCAGTAGGCGGGAACCGAAACGGGAACGTAAGTGAGGCTTCCCTTGTAGAGACTGGAGTCACTGCCTCCGAGGATCAGTTCTCCTCCCTTAACAGCAGTTCCTTGTCTCTTAAGGTAGAAAGAGATCACAGGCTGATCCAGCAGACCCTGGGAAACGAGGTTATCGAAAGGAGGAGTCACTCCATCCGCGGCAATCGAGGCAAAGGCCAATCCAAGGATTCCGGCAAAAGGAGCATCCACGAAAGTGGTTCCTGGTTCATTGATGGCTTCGCCAAAAGTCTGACTTTGGATGCCAATTCCCGCAATGTAAACAGTATCGGTTGAGAGGAATCCGGACAAACTACCAGTTCCGTATTGGATTTCGAACGCCTCACCATTTTCCACATAAGTACTAGAAGCCGATGAATCGTATTTGTTGTGTCTTTGGCAAGCGGTATTCGATTTAGGGCATTGGGAACTTGGCACCCACAAATTGGAGGATCCCGTGTCGAAGAGAATATTGAACCTCTGCTTGGGGGTTCCAATTGAAATCACTCCGTAGTATTCGTTGTTCAGGGAGTTATGCAGAGTTTCTGTACCCGTTGATGCACTCGTACTCGATTCCGCCAGAAAAGAGTATTTAACAGCCAACAAGGACTTCTCAGCCTTCACACTTCCATGGGTCTTGGTGAAATTCCTGTTCACCTGGAGCTTCACTCGATTCAACTTGGCTTCGGAAAGGCCAATTCCGATCAGCACCAATAAAACCAAGAGCTGTCTCATGTCTGCGGTTGAAATTCAACTGTGAATAGTTTCCAAATGGGTGCAGAATTTAAATAACATTTGCGGACACATGTAAATCCAAAAATAGCTTCAAAACTTTCCATCTTGGGTTCTAGAAGCCATTGACGTCCACGAGTTCCATTGGCACAATTAAGCAGACAGTAGACCAAATTTTTTAGTGATTCAAGCCTTGTCAAAATATTTGGTATTTGGCTTAAAGCATTGTTAATTTATTCAGCTGCCTGTGCAGACTACAGGTCTCTGGATAAAGAGCACGTGGGCTGCTCTTCTTTATTTAATTGTTAAGTAAGGAATCTTGGGTCAATAACTTCAAAGCCGGAATAATAATCAAAACAAGTGGAGCTGCTTTTAATATATGTTATGTGTACATTTTATGGCACCTATAAAAAGATTATTTTGTATTCTTTACTAAGTAAATTTAGATAAGTCTTAGTGACTCATGAACTAACAACACATTTGGTATTTGGTTTAAGGCATTTGCTGATTTATTCAGCTGTGCATATAAGAGGTGTTTACCAAAAACGCACCTAGGTTGATTTACATAATATTGTAAAACAATACAGTAAAGAATTTCGAGTCAATAACTTCTATTACTTCCGAAGTATTTATAGAGGTTGAGTTTAAATTCGAAATGAATTGAAAGTTTTATGGCTGTTAGATTATTGTTAATATATTTATTATTTTAATGCTTTTTCTCTTAAGCAAATTTATACAGTGGAACAATGTTTTTTTGTTCAAAAACTATTAAAACATTTGCACTTTGGTTATAGGCTTAGTTAAGTTTGTTTAGTTCGACTTTTAAAATATGTGGTACTCGGTTTATGGTTTTGTGAGTTTTTTCAGCTGTGCAGACTAAAGGCGATGAACAAAAGAGCACGTAGGCTGGACTTTATTTAATTTCTTAAATAAACTTTAAAATCATAAAAGTAACGTAAATTGCTTGGTTTTAATGTTCAGTAGTGTAGAATTCAAAAAGATCTTAAAAAAGTATTTATTCTTATTTAATTTCGCATACTTATTACAATATTTTTTCTCTAATAAAATATCGTGGAGACTTGTAATAATAAGGGAACAGATTCATATACCTGCAACTTAAACTAAAAACTAGTCAAAGATAATACCAATATATTTAGTTTTCCACTGCGGTTGCCCCGAAATACTGTCAGACTTGTGTCGAAAGGACATCAGCTGAACGGGTGATGGCAGCTTTGGCCAAAGGATTTGCATCCGAAATCGCGTTGTGTGGCCACTGTAACCGCAATACCCATCGAATTGGCCAAATAAAAGCAGCCAGCGTTCACTTTCGTTGCTGTTTCCGTTGCAGGTTCGATTGGTTCTCGGAACTGGGACTCCGGTGGTACGCCCTGCCCGCCGTTTCCAGCATGCTGTTCGATGTGGGCGGCATCCAGTTTACGGCGACCACATTCAGCGGTTGGTACATGTCCACCGAGATTGGCAGCCGGAATTTATGCGACACAAATCGCCGCAATATGTTGGAGGTAAGTTCAAGTAAAAAGACGTAGTATATAGTAATTTTCCGTATTGATATCCGGCCACCCTTGGTTTTTTTTATTTCCCCTGACATTGTCCTTGTTCGATGTCCTTGATGTCTTTGTCGCAGTATTGCGATGTGGCGCTTATTTCATTATAAGGCCGCATAATGTGCAGAACGAAGAAGAAGAAGAAGCGAAAAGGGAACTCCCGCCTTTATCATTCCAGTATGTCCTTGCATAAAGCGTTTTTTTTTCCGGGCCAGCATTCTTTTTGCCCAACAGCAATGTTCCGTTGGGCGGTGGGTGGAAAATGGTTAACAGCACTTAAGAAGGTCGCTGCTTTAAGGCTCGAAAGCGAGTTACTACCGTACTTTCATGCATCATGCACCTGGTTGTTACTGGAAATTAAATGCATTAGCACTGCATTTAAAGTTCGATCGATCTCCTTTCGGCTAATTAGTTTTTCAGCAGCACGAAAATGCCATTAGCACTTCTACGGAAATGGGGCTGAATTTTATGATAGCAAAATGCATCCTTTAAAATTACACACACACACTCATATGTGTCCGGAATGAGTTTAAATTTTAGAATGTTGAAACTGAGTTACTCTGCTAAAATATAAAAAAAGGTAATTCCTTTTAAAATAGTTTTTATAGAAAATTTATTTAATTTAAAGGGTATTTTCTAGGACTTGACGTTAATTAAATTAATCAATTTCAACTTTAATTACTATTATTATTTTCATCGATTTTAGTTAATAATTGGGTTCGTTTTAGTATTTGGCTTTCAGTGAATATTTTATAGTACGTAAAGCTTATGGCTTAGTGTAAAATGCAACTGCAATGACACTTGTTTCCCATTAAATCTGTGGTATTTGTCATCATCAAAGTCACTAGTTCGCCAGAATCGCCCAGAGTTTTGGTTCCACTGGTGGGAGTCGATGGCCTGTGGCTAAATCTATAATTGACATACGGTGTGGCTTTCGACGGGTTTGGGGAAAGTGTTGCCAGAGGCTCCGGGGCACTTGTTGTTGGCCAAGGCCTAATCTGACGACCGCAGTTGTTAGTAATTATTAAATGGTGACCGCAAAACCGAATTTTGTAATTGAAAATCGAAATTCCCGTCCATTAGCGATTAGGAACTAACGAAATTGATTTTCCACTGACCGCAGACGGTGGCGCTGAAGATGAATCTGGATACGAGGACACCGACGTCCCTGTGGAAGGACAAGGCCGTCGTCGAGATGAACATCGCCGTGCTGCACTCCTACCAAAGTCGCAATGTAACCATTGTGGATCACCACACGGCCAGCGAGAGCTTCATGAAGCACTTTGAAAACGAGTCGAAACTCAGGTGAGAGGCTCCCCAGATCGCCGATTATATTGTGTGTGTTTGTTTATGGCCGCACTGGGTTTGCATTTGTGGCATTTATGGCATTTATGGCGTTTTCCCAGCAGAATGTTTACGGCTTAACGTGTTTTATTTGACTTTCGAGGCGGCGGAAGGCGTGCGAAAAACTCTTTGCAGGTGCGAAAGTGAATTTATTGTTTCCAATTTGCCGTCGTCAGCATTTATGTAAACTGCACGCGAGACATATAAATGCCGCACAAATATGTCAAACTCAGCGAAATGTTTCAGCGAATGTTTCGTTTTACGAAGGAGCCAAAAATAAACATACAATTTTGTTTATTTTATTTTTAAAAGGGTAGAGCAGGTTGAATAATTTTTTTTTTTATTTTTTACAAATTTATCACAGTAGTTGAATTTAGTTATCGTTAATTTGCAAACCATAAACATAAAAAAATGACTGGACATCCTGCAAAACTTTTAACTTGGTCATTTTGCCAAGCGAAAATATTTAATTTATTTTTTTGCATAAAAAGGAGTTTCCAATTTAAATTCAATTCCGACCCGTCAATTAAAATATTTTTGCTTCTCATATTTCCAATGTCTAATTATGACATCACTGAATAACAGCGAGATTTGTTTAAATGTTGCTATTTATTTACAAAATCAAATGAGCAGTTGTGCTCTAAAATACAAAATGTAAAACATTATATCCAATGGGCCAACTATCCTAAACATTATATTTGCTATGTTCACATTAACAACACATTTTAGTTTACAACTTCAATTAAATCATAAAATAGCTTCAGTAAATTCTGCTTGTAAATAAATTCAAATTTTATTTATTGCAGCAATTGAATTTCATGTAATAAAAACATATTTCTTGCTTGTAAAACTGGTGAATAAAATAATAAATTCCAACTTTAGTCCAATTAAGATTGGCTACAAATTTAAGAGAAATACCCAATTTCTAAAGAAATTGGTTGAACAAATGCCTTCAAGTGTTTAACCTTAACCTACTTTCCAAAAGGGAATTGGGGCCAATAAAGTGTTTTATTTTGGGTGTTTTAAAATGCCCCCGCCACCTTAAGCCATCACCTACACAGAACAATAAATCAAAACCGTAAGCCCGTGTCTATTTTTATGGCAACAGCCGGCGGGGGGAGGCCACAATTAAGTCAGTTAGTGGTAATCCCCCATTTGGGGTACTAAAAATACGCCGGCCATATTTCAATTGCCGGCCGAAATAAATACACCCACTCGTCAATGGAAAATTATAGGCAATTACTAACCGGGGAAATCCGGGTTTCCCTGTTCGTTGTTTTTTTATTATAATTGCAGAAATGGGTGTCCCGCTGATTGGATTTGGATCGTGCCGCCGCTGTCGGGCTCCATTACGCCGGTCTTCCATCAGGAGATGGCACTGTACTACCTGAAGCCGTCGTTTGAGTACCAGGATCCCGCCTGGCGCACTCACGTCTGGAAAAAAGGACGAGGCGAGAGCAAGGGCAAGAAGCCGCGACGCAAATTCAATTTTAAACAAATCGCTAGGTGAGTACTTACAGCGGCGCTTACCGTTAACGTGGCGACCTTTGACCTCCCCATCCATATCCTTTTTGTACTCTGATGCTTCTGCTGCTTCTCCTTCTCCTTGCTACTGGTGATGTTGGTGATGATGATGTTGATACCCTCGCATCCTTGCCCGTGTAATTGTTCCCGTGTGCGATTCTCTGTTTGGTTGTTCGGTTGTTTTGCCAGCGTGTCACACGACAGCATCAGCAGGGATTAGCTTTTAAGTAGATTACATGGATTGTGGTTTATTGCCACCGGGTTTCCTCATCCTCCTCCTCCTGCTCCCTTTTTAATGGTCCTCTGTTCTCCATCTGCTCTACGGCTATCAAGTCGCCCGGAAAATTTGGAACATTGCATCATGTTTGTCGTCCCCGTTATTGTTATTTTAAATGTTATTTGCCGGGATATCGCTTCCCATTCTCTATCTTAAATCTTCCACCACGTTTAGTTTGGAGGTTTCAGCATATGTGCGGTTGAAGTTGATTGTTATGCAAATTTGACGTCCTTATTTTATTCGGGGCGAAATTCAAGACTTTACAAGTTACTTTCCGCTTTTCCGAACATAAAGGTAAATTCGTCGGGACTTATCTTAGATTGAGAATTCGCTTAAAGTCATTTATAACATTTATCTGTTGAGTAGATATTTGTTTAGTATGTGTAATGAATATATTTATTTAAAGATTTATTGCATTTTAAATAGCACTTCCTTATTTTATTTGAACTTAAGTTAAAACTTAGTTTATGTTTTTATAAAATTTTGTCTTTAGTGCATTATAAATATTTTTGAAATTAAATAAAATATATACTCTAGTTTTATATTTAAATTAGTATTACCTTTTTATGCAACTCTCTATGCTTCTTTCTTCCCTTTTGAATTATGAAGGCTTACAAGAAATTCTTAAATATTTTACAATAAAATTTGTTAGGATGCTGGTTATTCGTTGTTTGTTTTCTCCCAATTTGTTTTTATAACTCTTCAAGTTGAAAAGCCTAAGCATTTATGTTTGTGTTTTAGTTCTGCTACGTAAATGTTATTTTAGGTCTCTTTGAACACGCATGAAATGATTTTCAAAGAAAACAAATTGAAATGTCTACAGTTTAAATGGGCAACATTGAAATGTACAAGAGAGACCATAAAGTAATAGTCTTTGTTTGGCAATCAATTATTTAATTTGTAAATGAATCTGTGAACAAATGCGTTAACGAGGCAAAAACTATCAGGTTTCATCGGAGTATGCAAATTTGTGGCAATTATGCGCTTAGCAAAGGCTGAATTGCATTTAATCCTTACACTTATTCACGCATCAATCCATTAATCGAATGCCAAACAAACAACTGCGGTGAGCCCTAACAAATAAAATCAATTACACAATTATAAAGGAGAGGAAAAAAGCGGCTGCTGTTAAATAAGGCGTGCGAAATTATAATGATTATTTAACAACCGCACTTTAAATCGCTGCATATTAATGCAGTGTTGTCGACGCCGGCATATTTTTCATGCTAATTAATTTTAATTTACTGCAATCAGATCGCCGACGAGAAGCAAGTGCAAAATGGCTGGTAGATATTCATTAAAAAGTTATCAATTAAAATGTTGCAATTGCACATGTACGAGCTTCCATTAAATCGAGCATTCGAGCATTTTCGAGGCCGAAACTTTTTATCAATGTTTAAATGATGGTGCGGCGTAGGCGAAATCATTCGTATTTACTTATTTATGAGGACATATGTATCCGCACATATATCCATGTTGGGCTGACAGGCTGTAGACATAATTAAGTTTAATTGTTTCAGCACGCGCCGCGCCTCTTAGCTCTGATGAGATGAAATGGAATTAAATCAGCGCTGACATCGACAACTTTATGAAAATGAAATTATATTCATGCCCGCACAAAAGTGCGCTGCAAAATGCGATGTGCGGAGTGCTTCGCCTACGAGGTGCTGCAAAGTGGGAGGTGCCAGACATATTGAATTACATTTAAACTGCCTATAAGCATCCATTTGCCCTCTTATCCCAAAAAGTAGTTCCCTGCCAGTAGCAGGCATCCTCCAGCAACCGCGGAGCGAAGAAAACAATGCCGTCCCAAGGAAAAATAATAAGAGCGAGTGTTAAGGAAGGGGGTTAAAACTTTATGATACCGTAGAACTTCAGGGGAAATTATATGAAGAATATGCTGTTTAATATATATTTAAATCATCAGTAATTTCTTTTATTCAACATCAAAATTTAAACTGCTATAAAATATTTTTGTTTGAGAATATTAATTTATTAGCACTCATAAGATGTATTGATTTTAATGTTTTATTTTTAGCTGCTTTAAATAAGCATTTAATTAGCAATGTTTGACCATATGTTCCATTTCATAAATGCCATTAAAATATTTACCCAGCTTTGAGCATTAAGGGGTAAGAAATCCCAAAAATAAAGACCAAAGGATTCCAACTGATGTCTGACGGCAGTGAAGCAACAGAAGGCTTCCCTTTTCATATGCTGGCTTTTCATTTTTGCTGAAAAATTCCCCTCCTTTTTTTTCGTTTTCCTCCGCCTAGCAATGTGCATAAAATTTTATGCGATTCTGCTTTAAATGGCGAAATGAGAGGCGCAAGGGAAATCGCAACGTCCGACTTTCTGCAATAAAATTCCTCTGCGCCCCTTTGATTATTGAGTAACCATGTGTGCGGGTCCTTACAACAAAACATATGCTCTACTTGTAGACAATTTTCCAATTACTTGGCATGTCAATCAAAGTGGCTATATCATCCGGCGTCTGTTATGTTCTCCGTTATGGCCTTACCCTCGACACGCAGGCTTATGGGCCTAATGATGATGGTCGTGCTGCCGCTGACGCAGCTTTAAGTCTTTCTATGGTAGCATTCACAGCAAATACGAGTTAAACGTTCATTTTCACTTCGTTGCAGGGCTGTGAAATTTACATCGAAGCTATTTGGACGCGCCTTGTCCAAGCGAATTAAGGCTACTGTTCTATATGCCACCGAAACTGGAAAATCTGAGCAATATGCAAAGCAACTATGTGAGCTACTCGGACATGCATTCAATGCCCAGGTGAGAATAGTAAATAATAAAATAGTAAATTAATTTATAATACAAATATATCTATATATATCTATATAAAAATATAAAACTGAGGAGAAAACCAAGCCACTTTAATACACTCCCGTCTAGTTTACACATTAATTTCCAAACTTGTTAAATCTAAGCCTACGAAATGAGCTCTTCCGCAAGCACTAAGCATATTTCATACTGCCAAATGACATCCCTAATTTGACATTATAAAACGTTTTAGCCTACTGCTAAAATTAGCTCCATTTCGGGTTCTCTGGACTTAACCTGCGACCTTAGGCAAAAGGCCAACGCCACATGAGACAAATTAGCATAAAGCCGAAATTTACTTTTACATTTCCCTCTTTTTTTGGCCAGCTTAGTGTCCGGCAGGTTCAGTTTCATCCGAACTTAGGCCAAGTCCTAGTCCTGTTTCCCTTTTCATGTGTGTGTGTGTGTAAAAAGCATCTGCTAGATGGCTGGCAAAATAAGATAAGCTGCAAACACCTGCGACAAACTACAAGATACATTCTAGAGTCCAGGCTCATTAGGTCGCTTTCCTGGGATGCGTGTATTAAGGCCAAAGCATCTAATGACCGCAAAAGTGTTTGGCCTAGCAAAATACAACAAAATACGAAGAAAATATATAGTACGCACATCTACAGCGGTAAATTGTTTATTCATTTAGATATATTGCATGTCCGACTACGATATATCCTCCATCGAGCACGAGGCATTGTTAATTGTTGTGGCCTCCACCTTTGGCAACGGCGACCCCCCGGAAAACGGCGAGGTGAGTACTTAGGCCCCCAGATCATATCAACCTAATTAATGGATTAGGCCCAGCCGCCTCCTAATGACCCGAAATGTGAACTTTAACTTTTCGCTTTTTCCGCTTTTCCGCTGTTTTCGCCAGCTTTTCTCACAGGAATTGTACGCGATGCGTGTCCAGGAGTCTGGCGAGCATGGATTGCAGGATTCTAGGTGAGTAAAATAAATTCCCCCCATTTTTTCTCCATTTTTTGTTCTGCCTTTCTGTTGGCGCAGTCTTTGCATAAATTTCGTATAAATCAATTTTTGCGGTTACTTCGATGCAGCGGAGAGCCAAGGATAATAAATAAGGAGGAATGGGAGTGTAACTAAATTGCTTTTTAAGCAAGTTTTCTTTCATTTTGAATTTCCAGCTTATGCAAATTGCTTTCCTGCGTATCAATTTTTATTGCATACCTTATGGGGCATGCGGTGGGATTTTAATCCCTTGTCGTTCGTTGGGGGACACAAGCTGGATTAATTAATTCCTTTGCTGGGAAAGGGATGTAGTTAGTACAAAAGCTAAACTAGAAAACAAACTAGAAAACGAAAGACAGAAAGTTTTCTATTATGTGGAAAATGCAATCCTTAAATGCAGTTTGTGGAAGAAAGTCATCATAGTTTATTGAAAATGTGGTAAAAAATAACAGCAAAAATTCCAAATAAGGTACCTTAAGCAAATATATAATATAAACAAATATTTTATAATAGCAAAACAAATGTTTTTATTGGAAGCAGTAAAAGAAATATAGTTTCCCTTGTTCAAACACTTCACAAATCCCTATAAAATCAGTTTCAATTTTAAGTTATATTTAAGTTTAGTATTCACAAAGATTACATTAAAGAGTACTCACTGTACGCCCCTTTTAATTCGAAAATTTTTGGTGTGTCCTCATGGGCTCATATTATTGCTGACACATATTTGGCATTTTTGTATTATTAATTGGCCGTTGTTGTTGGCCCACATATCCTGCTGTAGTATGCGTGCCGAGAGCTTTAAAATTACAAACGCACACATACCAACATACACGAAGGATAAGGATACACGCACTTAAGTGCGTGCCGCTTGAGAGAGCAGACAAATCCGCGCAATTTTCCTTTTGGCCCCATCAACGAGGAAAAAACAATAACAATAATTTTGTTATTTCGATATTTTCCCTCACGTATGTCTGTGGAGGGTTTTTATGATGTAAAGGGGATTTCCGCTTGACAACTTTGACAACTTGGGGCACAAACACACAGACACTCACACTCACAAGCACACACACACACTTACAACCATTCTTTTGGTGGCTAAATTTATACCTAAACAAGCTGGGAGTTGCCTGTTGAAAACGAAATTGAAAATTCATATGTGGAGCAGCAGCGGAAGGACCAAACACACACACACACACTCACCAGCGGAAGGAAGCCAATTCAATAACATATTACGAAAGTCAGGCTGTAAAAAATGTCCTGCGGCCGCTTTTCCGTTGAAGGGAGAGGCTTTAATTGAAAAATTATGGGGGAAATCTCTGATCCGACATAATTGTGCGTGTTCATTGTTGTGTTCTTCGGCTTGTTTATTAATTTGTGTTTATTATAATGGCCAAATAATGAAGAGCGGACTGCCTCGTTTTCGGTTTCACTCTTTTTGTCTGCCTGAAAAACCAATTAATTTGATTTATTATTGCCTTGATATTGATATGATCCTATTGTAAAGGAATTTTGCTTGTGAAATCAGGCGAGGCTTACTTAGAAATTGAGCCAAGCCTGCGCTAATTGGCAGTCCTCAGCCTTCCTTTTATATTCAAAATATGATTAATTGCTGAGAAAAATGAGATAATATATAATTTATAGCCAGCAAATTCCCCTTAGGTGCTTTAATTTTGGGTTTAATCGTTTCAATTATTATTAAGCATTTAAGGCACGCCCCTTAATCGATTGCAGTTTCTGCCAGCCAAGCATTTAAGAAGTGAGCGTCTGCCTTTTGGCTCCCCCACTTGTTCCACGCTGCGTATGAGCAATTTAAACAACCATGATGCCAAAATCGCTTCGGGGAGGCCATCGACATGATGTGAGCTGAAGGCTGCCGAAGGATCTCCTTTTTCGGCTGCTGAAACGCTCGAGTGCGTTTGCTTCGAGTATTTGCTCTTCTTATTTTCCCGAGGCATTTTGTCGCTTCGGAAATTGCTTTGCCGTTAATTGTTTGCTTCGATTGATTTAATTTTAAAGCTCAAAAACTTGCCAGCTTTCGGGTGCAACTTTCCGAAATTGAAACTCAAGTAGTTGCTTAATAGTTTCGGAATAGTTTCGGGCCAAAAGTCAAATGCGACGAGAGAGAGCTTTTCGGGAAATAAATTTGGTATTTCGGCATTTTAGATACAATTTTTGTGGCTAGATTCTTGCGACAGGAGACCCATTTCAAAATTTGTGGCCTTGTTCTACTTCGAGTCAAGTGACTGTCGACTCAAGCTCACTTAATTGCAGTCTATTATGTCATCAACGCCTCTGAGTGTGCTTTTAAGTGTCTTTGGTGTGCGGGTGTTTGTGTTTTTATGTGTGTGAGAGCACCTGACATCCGTATCCTGTTGTCTGTAAACTGCAACTGCACGAAATGGGGCACTTATCCTTATGCCTTAGACGTCATCAGCAAGGACATCTCATTCCTCCCACCTCCGATGTTGCATTAGCCCATAAAAGTTTTCACGTTGATGATGCCACCTACAAGCTCGCCATTTCTCCACTTTGCATAATGAGTGGAGCCGAACACTTGAATAAAATGCTTGTCAAAATCATCAGCGACTTGTTTTTTTATACCCGCTCTCAGCAGCTTTTCAAGTGCACGAAAATAATTACAAGCACAAGTTGTTTGGTTAGGGCCACTTGACTCGAGAGCAGACAGAATAAATACGGGCGAAAATGGCACTGCAGGCTTTTAGGCAGCTCGCCAGATTTATGAGGCTGCGGGAGTGCACTGCGGAAATCAAGTATACGCACTGTGCGGCTTCTTCAAGTTCAAGTGTGCAGTAAAGTAGTTAAAGAACTGGAAACTAAACATGATATTTATGTTAGGTAATATATTGTATAAACATTATTTCCAATTACCTCCTAAGAAATCAATATGTAAATCTTTGACATAACAAAGAATACTAAGCTCTCCTAAATAACTAAGAGGCTGAAATCTTATATAGGATGAACATTAATTTAAGATATTAATATTTAATATTAAATATTTATGTGTAATTTAAATAATATTACACTACATTTTCTATTCACTTTAATGGCTACATAACTAAAGAGCATAAGACTAATTTATTTTTCTTTATTTATTCTTAAATTTTGAGTTTTATTATTTTTGGTTTTATATGCATAATAAGCATAAATATTGTCTATTTTGTGGTTTGTTTATTAATTTGACCTTTATATTATTTTAAGATTACTATTTAATAGTTTTTAGCAGTGTGTTAGTGAAAAGGTGTAGCCAATCCTCAGCGCAGCTTGGCAGCGTTTTAATTATGCCGAGTCCAGGATTTCCAGTCTGGCTCCTCGTCCTTTGCCCCGTAAATGTTTTTTGCTCTCAATAGTTTTGCTCTGGCACCTGGCCTCCTTTTTATTTTACCTTCAGCTTCCTTTTTCAGTCGTTAGTTCAGCTGTAAATTACAACACTCTTTTCACGCAAAGCTGCACTTTTGGCATGCTGGTTTAAAAGGAGCAAGGATCTCTGTTTGTTTGCGTGCCGGATTCGCTTTGCTTTTGTTGTTTTTGCTTTTTAAGGAGTGTGTGATTAAGTTGATAGGCGTCACTCAGCTTAAAACTTGGCTAAGCACCGAAGCGTTGAGTTGTGCTTCTTGCCGGCGTGATGAATTGCATGTGTCTGAGAAACAGATTCGGAGTGGGATTACGTTTACCAACAATTACAATGTAATTTTGGTGAGGTGGAAATTCGGAGAATGGTCGGATGGATTAGGTTCATCTCCTTGGCAAAATAATTAATGAACATGCTAAGGTTACACGCTAAACTGTTGATTCAGTAATGCTTGCATATTGATGTTGTAATTTAATATGCCTGCCTGCAATTAGTAACTCAGCTTCTAAATTAATTATCACTTTAGTCAAATAACCAAAGGGGATTTATCAGGGAAAGTTGCAGAAATTATTTACATGTAATAAGGTTGAATCTCTTTAGTTAAATTGAAGATCTGATGATGCTGCCGCTTGAGTAGTAATACTGTAATTTAATATTCCTCTCCGTGGCCGGCGGTAGTGGCTTTATCCCCGCCTATATAATCCCCGGCAGGTTCTGGCCCCTTCACTCGCTGTTAACAAGCTCTTACAACTTGTAAGCTCTATGGTAGTCAGTCGTGACGGGTCTTGGGTCCTGCATCCCTGAGTCCTGAGTCCTTATCCTTTTGGCTCGGGGCAACAGGTTTTTACGACCCCAGCAAAGCCATAAACTTTTGACCCAAAGCCAAGCTGAGCAGCAGGAGCTCAAAATAGTTTTAAACGCATTGGAGCACCGAGAACCGAGAACCGAGTTGTGGGCCATGGCCAGATGCATTTGGCAGCAGTCTGGCCAAAAGCGGATTTTTCCTCGCTTCTTGGGCTTCGTTAAAAACTGCCACTGTTCATTGTTGAATCATCACTCAACCGGGCGGTCTTTCCATCTGGGAAAACTAACGGAGGGGGAAAACTGCAGTTGGAAAACTCACACGCTGGGAAAATTCTTGCCACTGACGAGCAGCTGACGAGCGGATGATTACGTTTCTTTTTGTTTTTTTTTTCTTTTTCTAAGTGAATTGCTTGAGCCCATGTCCGAATTCAAGAGCAAGTCTTGTCCTTTCATTCAGCCCTACTTTGAGCTCATTTTATTTTTTGGCTGTTTTTGCACATTTCTTTTTTACTTACTTTGCTGTTGTTTTTGTTTTTGTTGTTTTTTTTTGTATATTTTTTTCTGCTACATCCAATGACAAGCGTAATAAATGCTTTGCTGTCAGCCTCTGCTTTTCTTCTTTTATTGTTGCCTCCTTTGGCGTGTTTTCTTCATTGTTTAGTTCCTGAAAAACAGCAGTAACAACAGTAACAAGAAGAGCAGCAGAAAAAAAAAGGGGCAGTCGGCCGCCCTTGACCACGCCCCCTGCCTTTTGTTGCCGCGGCCCTTTGTGATGAATATGAATCCGAGGGCGGGAAAAGCCCATTTTAATTTGAGTGTTCTGCGTTCTGTTTCCCCCAAAACTGGGATGCATATTTTCAGGCTGCTGCTGTTAAAAAAAAAAAAACAGATGATTTCCTCAAACTGTAATTCAAACGAGTTCCTTTTTTTTACTGGCATTTTCTTTTTTAGCATTGGCTCCTCGAAGTCCTTCATGAAGGCGAGTTCGCGACAGGAGTTCATGAAGCTGCCGCTGCAACAGGTGAAGCGAATCGACCGCTGGGACTCGCTGCGGGGCTCCACCTCGGACACCTTCACCGAGGAGACCTTCGGCCCGCTCTCCAACGTCCGGTTTGCGGTCTTCGCCCTTGGCTCCTCGGCCTACCCCAACTTCTGCGCCTTCGGCCAGTACGTGGACAACATTTTGGGGGAGCTGGGAGGAGAGCGCCTGCTGCGGGTGGCCTACGGCGACGAGATGTGTGGACAGGAGCAGTCCTTCCGCAAGTGGGCACCCGAGGTGTTCAAGGTGAGTAGAGTGACAGCCTACGAAAGGAATCTGTGCAAGACATAGCTTCGAATATGCAGAGATTTTTGGTTGAAAAACGTTTGCAGTCTACAGTGCAAATACGTAATGGGAAAATGGTGGAACACTATATCTTAAACTTTAAATGCGGAAAAATTGATTTTATAAACCAGAAATCTCGAAATAAAAATTAAATTTAATATTGTACTTCTCCTTCCATATTCAACAAGAGTTTCCCATGAAGTACTCTGATTATTTTCTTTTTTAAATAATCTGTTTAAAAATACGCAAAGTTATTGTTAGATATGTGTTCACAGGCAACGATGCGTATACGCAATTACACTTTGTAAAAGTTGAAAGACTAAAAATTAAACATAAGAATGTTTAATGTGCAATGGGCTTGAACAAAATGTAAACTTTTAAAAGTGAAATAATAATGAAATAGAAAATTTAAATTCATTTTAATAAAGCAATTGAGTAGCAAATAATAGATATATTAATAGAAGAATTATGTACAATATAACATTTTTCGGATAACAACTGTTACATTAATTCACATTAGTTTATTCTAAAAACGATTAAAAAAATCCTTCAATTTTTGAAATTAATTAATTATTATTTATAATAATAAAATTTGTATTTCTTTGAAATATTTCCTCTACCCGACTTTCTAGCTCGCCTGCGAGACCTTCTGCCTGGATCCGGAGGAGAGTCTCTCGGATGCTTCGCTGGCACTCCAGAACGACTCACTCACCGTGAACACAGTGCGATTGGTTCCCTCGGTGAGCAAGGGATCCCTGGATGGAAGTCTGTCGAAGTACCACAACAAGAAGGTCCACTGCTGTAAGGCGAAGTCACAGCCCCACAATCTCACCAGACTAAGCGAGGGATCCAAGACGACGATGTTGCTGGAGATCTGTGCCCCGGGATTGGAGTACGAGCCGGGTGACCATGTGGGCATCTTTCCTGCCAATCGATCCGAGTTGGTTGAAGGTCTGCTGGATCGCCTGGTGGGTGTGGATAATCCCGATGAGGTGCTGCAACTGCAGTTGCTCAAAGAGAAGCAGACCTCGAATGGGATCTTCAAGTGCTGGGAGCCACATGACAAGATTCCCCCGGATACGCTGAGGAATCTCCTGGCCAGATTCTTTGACCTGACCACTCCGCCATCGCGACAATTGCTCACCCTTTTGTCGGGATTCTGTGATGATTCGGCGGACAAGGAGCGATTGGAACTGCTGGTGAATGATTCCTCGGCCTACGAGGATTGGCGGCACTGGCGGTTGCCTCATCTGCTGGATGTCCTCGAGGAGTTCCCCTCCTGTCGCCCACCAGCTCCCCTTCTGTTGGCCCAACTGACGCCCCTGCAACCCAGGTTCTACTCCATTTCCTCGTCACCGCGGAAAGTTAGTGACGAAATCCACTTAACGGTGGCCATAGTGAAATATCGCTGTGAAGATGGAGAAGGTGACGAACGATATGGAGTTTGCTCGAATTATCTTTCGGGTTTGCGAGCGGAGGATGATCTTTATATGTTCGTGAGGAGCGCCTTGGGTTTCCACTTGCCCAGCGACCGGAGTCGACCCATCATCCTGATTGGTCCTGGCACGGGAATCGCTCCTTTCCGTTCCTTTTGGCAGGAGTTCCAGGTCCTCCGTGATCTGGATCCCGTGGCCGCGTTGCCCAAAATGTGGCTCTTCTTTGGCTGCCGGAATCGGGATGTGGACCTCTATGCGGAGGAAAAAGCGCAACTGGAAAAGGACCAGATTCTGGACAGAGTTTTTCTTGCGCTCTCCAGGGAGCAGGCCATTCCAAAGGTAAGCTTTTTGTGGTCAGCAAACTGAACTTTCTCTGACTTTTATTGACTTTAACAAGTTAGCTTAGGTACACTAGAAAAAATTCCTCTCATATTAGTTCGTTATATTTAACTTTTTAATACATTTTAATTTTAAGTTTCCAAATATAAATATGGAAAGATTCAAACCCTTCATTATTTTTATAACTTTAGCAATTAGAAAAGGATTTTTTGTAAACATTTTTCCTTCTAAATATTTAAAATTAAAAATTCAATAGAAGTAAAAATAGTAATAGCCACTTATAAAGTTGTTTGTTCTTCAATTTTTAATTTTTTTCAAAATTATATTTTAATTTTATTACAATGTAATATTTATAGACATGTTTATTAATGTCGAGCTTAACTCTGTTTAGTATGCAACTACTTAAGTTTTTAAAGGTAGCTTAAACAATTTCTGGTGTATTTGCATTATTTTATTAGATTAAATTGGTCAAAGGTTAGGTTTTAAATCAATCACTGTGATGCTTTCTTTCTCTGTACATGAACTATTGCCGCTTAAACAATGATTTGTTTTTTGACTCGACATCGAAACGACTCAAATCGACTTGAATCGCTTGTGCTTGTGATTGTGCTCTTGGATTGTGCTCATGGATTGCAGACATATGTGCAGGACCTGATTGAACAGGAATTCGATTCGTTATACCAGCTGATTGTGCAGGAGCGGGGCCACATTTACGTCTGCGGCGATGTCACAATGGCCGAGCATGTGTACCAGACCATCAGGTGAGTCCTGCTCCCTCCTTAAGTTTGATTGCCTTTGTGTGTTTGGGAGCCACCGGGCGTGGGCGGAGTGGGCGTGGCTGCTCTTTCCGCATTCCCTTCGGACACCAATGGGAGTTCACTGTTTTCCCTGCTTTTCCGATGCCCGACGGTCAGGTATTTTGCCATCGCCTGGCCGGCTTTTATATTTCGTTTCTCTGCTCCGCATTTTTCAAAGCCCCTGATTAAGTGCCTTATTGTGAAATACGGGCTGTCTCTATCCATACACACAGGATATTGCATAATGGCCATGTCCTCGACAGGGGATTTTAATGGGAACCACCTCGTAATCATAAGCGGTTTAGTTTAATTGGAACTGAAGATGATACAGGATGGCGGCCTTATCTTTTGCTTGTGCTAATTAGAAAAGAATTCAAAGAAATATAAGATACCTTTTTTTTGGTTTAAGTATGAAAATTATCAGGAAATTATTTCATTAAGATATCAAGAAAGTAGGTGGCACATTTTAATAAATTTATATATTATTCTCTTAATAGTAGAAATGTAAAGTAACACCCTTGCTACTATTTAACATATTCCCTTTCAAATCGTCGGTTTGCAAACCCATTTCTGTCCCCATGGATTACTCTCCATCTCCCTGGGCGAATAAATAAACAGTTTTGCAGAGTTTTCCTGTATTTTCCGTACACACTTCAGCCTTTACATATTCCTTTCTCTTTGGCAGGAAGTGCATTGCCGGCAAGGAGCAAAAGAGCGAGGCGGAAGTTGAGACATTTTTGCTAACACTGCGGGTAAGTATCCTTAGCGGTGAAAGGCAGAGCTCAAGCTATAAATACCGATGGTGAAGGGTTTCCTTCTTGGCACACTCGGCGTATGAGCAATCTTTCCCAGCATGCATAAAAATAGTTTTGAACAATGTAGTGTAAAGCAACATTTGACGACAGCAAATCTACATACATTGTGTTGCAATGTTCTCATGATTCTATTTTTTTTTGCCAGGATGAAAGTCGCTACCACGAGGACATCTTTGGCATCACGCTGCGAACAGCTGAAATACACACAAAATCGAGGGCCACGGCCAGGATTCGAATGGCTTCCCAGCCGTAAGGGATATTCGGACTAATCAAAATAGGCGGGTTACAATATCCAAATAAGTGAAGAATACCAAACATTTCTTCTTTCTTTTCCTCCATATTCAAATGCAATTAAATATTGTCGCTTTGTTCATTACTTATTCGTACGAATACCGTTTAAATAAATTACATTTTATTATTGATTCTTATGTACAAATTAATTCAGAAATCAAAATCTAAATGTTAAATATATTACAAATAAACAAATCGAAAAATCAAGTACTTCAAGTTTATTATAAAGGCTGGAGGGCGTGGATTAGTCAAATGCAATTTCCAATTTCAGACTCGAAGTGAAAGGCCATTGGCTAAGCGGCTTAAATTGGCTGAAGGGAAATGGAAATTCACCGATTGGCAAATTGTGCAGAAAATGCAATTTATAAAATAAATACCATTTCCTTTCATCTATTTTTTCAGACTTTCCTTTTTCGCGATTGGTTTGGCCCTAATAAGAGGGAATAATACGGCTTGGCAATGCCAGACTCGAAAGAATTTCTACCATATATACTTACCTTCCGTACTTTGCATTGCAATATATATATTGAATTAGAAAACTAAGCGAACAGTGGTTTTCACTGCAACAAAAAATAAGCTTAACATTGGTAAATAATTAATATAAAAATATTACAGATTTTAGATATCATGTATTTTAAATTTGTCAATGCAAACAATAAAAATAAATATTTTTAAATATTTACATAATGAAAAGTTTTGTTTACCAGATAACAAATGAACTCTTTGTTTATTACACAAGAACCAACAATCTATCTCTTATAGATAAGAAGCATTTTCCAGTAAAAGAGCTCCTATTAACATCTATATTTCATCAATTAGAGTATTTTGTTATCTCAGACCTCTGTGCATCCACATCGCAGTGGCTGCGCCAACATTCCGGTGGCAGTCTGCGGTTTCAAAGCGTTAACAGATTTGTACCTTGTGCGAAATTCTAAACATCTGCCTCTACGTACATCCTAACTCCGACCAAAGGGGCTCACCGCTATCCCACAAGCGACTGACTATGTGGAGTATCCGATTTCAATGCTGAAATTGAATTGTGAGCGCTGCTTGGCTTCTGTTTGATTTCTTCTTGTTTGAGCTCGCATGCAGTATATGGGTATACCCGCTGTTTGCTGGGTGTTTGCGCTGTTATCTGGCCATATGGTAAAGAATTTTCTATTTAAACAACACATTTTTAGATTTGATTTATATAATTTTACATGCCAAAATTATGGGAAGTTTCCAAGTGCAAGAAAGAATTTATATCACTAGTGGATAATTCATATAAATAGTTAATTTATAAAAAAAATATTTAGCAACTATAGATCTGATTCCGAAATATTTTATTTGATATTTACACAAAGCAAACCTAATCAATTTAAAATATACATATATAATGTTAAATTTAACTAGTATTGGATATGTACTTATTATTTGCATTTGATGTTTTGAGTTTGTACAAAATGTAACAAATTGATTTGAATCTTGAGTATAAGTTTAGTCGATACACTAAGTGTGACTTTTTACCTGTTTCATTTAGAATGATTCCTTTTAGTTTCTGTTTTTTTAACGGAAATTTCTACTGCAGTGACTAGTCGCGGTTTGACTTCTGATTGACATTTTTCCCCGTTTTTTTTTTTTTTTGTTAAGATAGAGCACGCGTATCTCTTTCAATCAACCCAGCATCCGCTCATATTTTAGGTTTGACATATGTCAGTGGCAGAAACACAGGAAGCTGAAAGATATTGCCTAGGAAATTGAAATCAAAAGGTTAAATGGCCAAGTTTTTTCAAAAGGTTAGCCTATTTAACCAAGTTAAAAGTCTCAAATTGCGGAAATAAAATGTAATTATAGGCTTTATTGGGAAATACTACAACATACATTGTTTTCATTTAGCTTAGTCGTTAATATTTTAACCTTTATTTTTTGCTATTAAATGTGTTTTCACCAGACAGGCAAAAAAGAAAACGATTTCCACATTTCACTTGACTTTTGTCGTCTTGCATTATTGACACCCGATTACACATATGCAGATTCGGTGGAAATTGATAATGTCGCGTGGCTAAAAAAATATAATACTGCTGTTCTCAACGGTTTCCGTTGAATTTGGTGCGAACGACATGGTAAGTGGACATGCTGACCGCGACATAAAAACCCTCAAATTGGCTTTTACCAACTGAAATGCGATTGTAAAACTCTGCAGAAATGGTAATCGTAAACTGATGTCAATGGCTTATTGGGTTTTTTCGACCTGTAAACGAAATCACCTGATCTTTTTAGCCAGAACGTGAGTCAGCTGCCAAGGAACTTGGCTTAATTGTGCGGGATAAGCCCTCCGATTAACAAATGGAATGCAGTTCTCTCTTTGGCACGCGACTCCCTGGCCAAGTGACCAAAATGCTTGGCTTTTAACCGGCTTTTAAGCCGCTCCAACTGCTCCAAAAGCTACTCTGCAGCCCATGGATACACTCTCGATTCCAAATTAATCAACCGACTTTCAACGGGCAGCCTCCGACGATCACAACAACCACCGTTCAGATGGCCCGGCTAACACCAACATTCCTGACATAATTTCGTGTGTGAGTAAGCAAACGAGTTCGGGAAAAATTAGACGTCATCGTGCCTCAGCCTCAGACTCAACCTCAGCCTCAGTTGCCGCTGGCAACAAAAGGTGGGACTCACAAAACGCTGTCTACGGAATCCACAAAGGTGCAAAGTCGAAGCCCGATGGGGAAATTGAAATTTTAATATTCACTCAAGGACTCAGCTTGATTGAAGTATGCCAGCAGCATATATTAAATTGAAAGCCAGAATATTTGGCAGAGAGTACTTAATACGAACATTATGTTTACAAATTATTTAGTAAGTCAGTTTAAGTAAATTCTATTGGGAATAAAAACACTTCCCAGCGGAAGCAATATGTTGCGAATAATCTAGCAACAGCAAAGTTTATTTTTGCCGGCTCGCCAGTTTTGCCTTCGATCTTGGGCTGCAAAGTTCGTTTCGAACTAAAATCAGCGCCGACGTAGCCGGCTCAAGCCTAGTGATGCTATCTTTGGGGAAAAAATAGCTAAAAAACGATTTAACTATACCCATTTATTTGCACTGATATTTATTCATTTTAACGTTAAAAAACAAAATATATTTTAACATTAATAAGGACAACATTTTGAAACACTAAATTGAATGGGTATGTTTTAATTCTCAAAGTAAGTACATATTTCTAAATTCATAGGAATAAAAGCTCAGGTTGTTTTGTATTTTCATCAAATGCATCTTAATTGGTTCCTTTAAAAACGAAGTTTGTATCTGTTCAATTAAATCAATAAAAGTAGTTATACCTTAAAAAATTCTAAAAAGTTTTTTTAAAATTGTATGGCCTCTTATATTTTTTTGTGTACAATCTAATACTTTTACCTAAATTACTGAGGCGGTTGCGTTGAATTTAACCCATCAAAACCCTGTTTAGCCGACTCATTGCGATCCCCGAAATCTGGCCGGAAAATCGCCGATCGAGCATCGCCGCTCAAGCCTAACATTGCGACTTGAACTTGCCGCCGTTCGAAGCTGGGCGTGCATGTAGTGAGGGGGAGGGGGCGGGGGAGTGAGCGAGCGAGCTTGGTTACCGCCGACGGCTGCAACAACAACAAAAAGCAAACAGCGCAACTCTGATGTCGATTTTTTTGTCGGACCGCGCTTCGTTTATTTTAGTTAGTAACGAGATTTCGAGCGCTCAACGTTGACGTCGCGGTTGAAAATCGGCAAGAGGTTCGAGCCACAAAAGCTCCGGTACAGTGCGTACTCCCTATGCTGAACGACTCGCCAGTGAGTGTGTGACTGTGTGCGGGCGCAGACATGAAGTGAATAAGAAATTGGAAAAGCACTAAAACATAACATATATGTAAAATATACGAAAAAAAAATATATAAAAACGCAAAAGAAAACGCAAGAAACGTGGGTAAGGCCAAAAGCGAGGCAAAAACCGACAACGACAACAAAAAAGCAACAACAACAACAACAGCAATAGCAATAGCAACAACAACAACAGCAACTCGGCGATAATCAGAAAATATTTCTTTAAGCCCATCGCGCGCCTCAAATCGAAAAAGCGCGAAATATTTATTTCGGCCCCAAAACGTAAGTGTCTGCAAGTGCAAGTCGATGTGTGTATCGAAATATATATAAATATATATGCATATACCTGAATATATATGTGTATAGCGCTGAGTGTTAGGCACAACAAACTAGGGGACAGTTGTAATATATTGCAGTAACAACAAAACTAATACACAAGTTGTTGATTGTCGGTTGCCAAGAGTGAAATTATTGAACAAGAAATTTGTTTTTGCTCAGGAGGGTTTGCTTGGTGATTTTGAGTCCAGCGAAGCGGGGGAAAATGCGCCAAAAATATTTATTGGCTGTAAATATACAGTTTCGGTGGAAAAGTCAAGGAAATATATTCCAAATATTCCAAAAATATTCCAATAAGAAATTATGGAAACTAAAAACCTTTTTTAATTAGTTAACTTTTAAAATGGTTTTATTTAACTGATCAGCAGTTTAAATTTAAGTTATTAAGTCTCGACAAAATTTGTAAGCTAATGTGTGGAAAATGTAATCCGAACAAATCAAAGGTTAAAATGCAAAAAAAAAAAACTATTTATTTAATAAAATTTTTAATGAAGAGCAAAAGATTATATCAATTATTTCCTAATTGATAATTGAATCTAGCTTATACCTCAAGCAAAAAAAAAATCAGGTATCGATGACTAAATAATATCACTTCACATTTTTGTATTATAGTTTTTGTATCATAAGCCGTTCAATTTCCTTGCGATATCGAAATATGTTTACCCATACTTCCTTTGAAATTTTTAAAGCTGTTCCGACAGATTTTCTGGGTAATTCGAACTTAATAGAGGATGAGGTGTCTAAGAGATTGTTTTGCTTGGCAAATATAGTCCAGTTACCAGTTCAATTCCCCTGGCAAACAATTGAAACGCTCCCCAAACTATGTATTATTACGTTTTGCTCTCAATTTCTGTGTACTTTCTGCGTTCAGAAATTGTTTGCATTTCGAGTGGCGGTGGCGGTGACTAAGTGCTGATTTTTACGATTACAGGTGTTTGAAATGTATTCAAAATTTATGAGACTCTGGTACTATTATGGCCAGTGCCTCTGGCTGCTGGCTGCTGGATTTTGATGTGTGGGGCAGATGAAATAGAGCCATTCGGCAGCAGCCCAGACCTTACAAGGTTCATTGCTACTTGTCACAATTTTTTTTCCCTGCCGTTTGGCCGTTTCATGTAGGCTGGCCGTATAGATAATAAACATTAAGCTTAATGGCATTGTCGCTGGGCTATCCAACACACAAACTACAACAAACGAACAAACAAAAAAAAAAACAAAAAAAAGCAAGTAAATCAACAGTAAACAAATGGCAAGCCACGCGTGTCTGCCTTTTAGCCGTGGCTTGTGAACTTTTCTTGTGGGTTTTTCTCCTTTTTGACAGCTTCTATAGCGTGTTAATTCCGACGGTATTGTATTGAAATCTTGTTCCTCAATTTTTGGCACATTCATTTGCTGGCTTCTGGGGATTCTTTGCAAATTAAGCGTCGTTTCTCGGCGATTATAGACAATTTTTCGCAGCTTGTTGTCGGTCGGTCAGGCGCCCCACAGTCAGCCGTAAATAAATCTGTTTATTATAGCCACAATTAGTTGATTTAAATTATTAACTTTGGCGCACTAATGCCCGTCAGGTTCAAGGTTAAGGATGGCCATTTAAATGAATTGTGTGTTTGCTGAAGTACGAGCAAATACAAATGCAAATAAGTATAAATCAGACATCTAAATGCATGCGAAATCTTTTGTGCGACCGCGTAGAGCGAAGAGAATTATTATAGAATAATTTCTGTTACGTGAGATTAAGCAATATGCTCTGACAATGTCGCGTGTTGAAGATAGTACAACGACGTATTTAGTTTTTACCTGGCCATATATCTTCCACGTGCGCTAAAGCACCTAGAAAAAGTTGTCAACTGTCAGGGAAGACGACTCACTTGGATATCTTTGAGTGGAGCCTGGAAAAGGTGATGAATTTTTCATATAACAATTTGTAAGGCAACAAAAATTAGAATATATTGTACTATTTAAAAAGCTTTAAAGTAAAAATCAAATAACAAAAGCTTTAATAATTTATCTGCTCTTAAAGTATATAAATTATTTAAATAAGATTATAAACAAGTGTTAAATGATTTTCGTATAAATTGAAATATTTTTTTATTTTTCCGATATTTGTCTTAAGACTTCCTGCCAACCAAAATGCGATTTTCTTTCAAGTATAGCCGCAACAAAGAAGCCCAGAAAGAAACGCAAACAAGTTGGCTAGTACATAGCCGTTGCCACTTTAAATATATCCACTTCATTCATAGGCAAATACTAAAAGGCAGGCATGCCAAACAAATCAAACACGGTGCACAAATGGCTTGCAAAACGCCGAAGACAAGGCGACTGGCAAAGCGAAGACCAGAAAGAAGTCGCAAAATGCAAAAAATCATTTAACGCATTTCAACAACGCTCATTACCGATTTCGATTTGTAGAAGAGGGGCACTCGAGAGCCCCTCCCCTCCAAAAACCCCGCCCCTCGTCGACGAACCTGGCACGTGGACTCATTTAAAGTAGTGCAGACAGACAATAAAATGCCAAAATCCAGCGCCAACAAACTCGCACATATCTTCAATATAGCCAAAAATATTTGTGAATTTTTATGAATGAAACGCAAAATGTGTTGAATTTGAATTGCCGCCGCCGATGAGCGACTTCCAACTTTTTGCACAAATTGCGTGGCGTAGCTGGAAACATGGCTTGCATGGCTAAGTAATGAGTATCTTTTTTTTCCAAAACTTAAACCTCTTACGTACAAAGTCTTCCAGTGGCGCAAAAAAAAACCCGCATAGCCGCAAAATCGGCCTGCAAAAATTCAACGGATTAACTAAGTCATGGTAGTAACCTCATACAATGTTTTCTTTTAGTTGCTCATCTCGCAAAAAGTGAAAACATAAATTTGTTATAAGCATTTAAGCCCCATAAATAAATAAATAAACGAGAAATGAATTTACTCTCCGGCATTTCTCGCTTACTAAATATTAAATCAATTAATTTGTTGCATATTGGTTACCAGGAAACGAATTTATATTCCATTTTTTTCGTACGTCACTTCTGGCTTTTTGGAAAATACCCAGTTGCTTGATTCACCTGAAACTTGCGGGTATTTGCTTAAAGGCAATAAAAGAAATATATACATTTTTTACTGACCAACTCACAGCCCAAAAGTAAAGTAAATGAATAAATAACTTTTAATGAAAGGAAAATAAACACCCACAATCACGGCTCACAAAAATCAACCGAAATGTATGTAACTGTCCAGACAAATTGAATTTACTTTTGATTTGCCTGCATTATTAAATGTCGAACATCAAACCCTGGAATGAATGTCGTTTATTTTTTGAAACAAATTGCCTGTCGACAAGGTAAATAAAAAAGAGAACACTAAAATACCTGTGAGTGATTTTGCTAAGTTTGTTTGAGATGACTTAACCAGCACTTCCAATTTCCGGTCACAACTTGATGCGATTTTTTTTGCCGACTCACCTGAAATATTTTTCAAGAGAGCCGGGACGGGGAAACCTTCGAAACAGATGCAAAAATTCTGCAGAAGAGCTTTTACAAGATTTATTCATTTTCGGTTGAAATTCATGAATACACAAATGCATGAAGTCCCCATGAACTCGACGAAAAAATAAATTTCACAAGTGGCTTGAGCCGGGCTTTGTTTATATTTTTGGGCGAAACCAGTTTCCATATTTCTGCCCAAGCCGAAATCATAACAAAAACATCGACATTTCATCGGCAAGAAGATGGGCATGCATAGTATTTTTGGAAATTTTTGAGCTTAGATCATTTCGGTATTGTGACCAAAGTGATTCTGACCAAATTGCGCATCTAATTACACGTTATTGTGGCGCCGTTTAGTCAGCATTGAAAGCGCCGCCGAAATAATTCAATAAAGGCGCCCAGCAACCTTCGTACGTGTAGTTTTAATTAATTTGCTTTCAGAAACACAGAAATATTTAAAATCGCCCTGGCGCCCTCAACAATTCCGAGGCGTGTGTAAAAATAATTTCGCATGTGGCGGCCTCGTTTTGAAATGATATTGAATATCGATCGGTGGCCAGGCTGTGTTTATCCAGCCCACTTTGAGTCATCCGTATTTAGTTTCGGGTTTTTCTGAACTACACTATTTATTGCTGGCATTAATCACCTGAGCTATAAAGCTGCAAATAATACCTTTCCGTCTGCGGCGACTTGTTTCGTCTTGACTTTATGAGGGTTTCCGATGGGCCAGCCGATTTCGGGCAATTTATGAATTCCCATTAAGCTAAATGCTCAATTAGCGCTAGGGCGTGATATTTTGGTTAATCAATGTCAGTTGGGGATATAAAATATATTTAGCAAACCCCTGAATGACATTTACTACACCTTCGTTTATAGAATTCCTCTTAAAAGTAGTATCAACAAAAAATACTTGAATGCAACAAACAAATTAACCAACTATTCCCATAGCCCCAGTTCTTTTTCGTAAGTTAAAAGTCCTTTTGGCTGAGTATCGAATGTACTGAGGCATTCTTTTGACAATCATTACTTGCAGTAAACTTTCCCCGGCGGAAACTTTGGGGCAAGTAAATTCCCTGCATTACAAGTTGTTGATTTTCGGTGTTTTTTCCCCCGTTGCCATGGCATCCACATGTAGGCAAAGTGCCACAAAGCTGTTGTAAGTATCTGGTGGATACAAAATTTATAACAGGGCAAGGGAAAACTTTCGAGCAGCCCCAAAAACCCCGCCATTCTTGGCCTTATCGCTACCCCGTTTCCAAATCGTAGTTATAGCAAAACAAGCGTAAACAAAAACCTTTCACGAGGGGGAAAAGGCAGGGGTAAATATTCATGCACAATTTGCATTTTGAGGCAGCGACTACTTTACATCACATTTTTGTGTCAAATCAGCGCAAATTTGAAGGCGTTCAGACAGCCCGCCCCGAAGGCAGAAGTGAACGACCCACGGAATCCGCCGGCACAT